TCCGGTAGGGCACATTACAGCTGAAATAGCTATGTGTTAGGGCAAGTGCAGAGAAACACAACGCTGAAGAGGGGCAAGGGAAGGCAAGGGAGAAGGGCTGCAGCCTTTGCGCCTCCTGAGGACCTCAGGTCTTTCTACCCAAGATCAGGGCACTGGAAATATTTCACCATGCCAAATATTCTCCAAAATGAAAGAAAAGGTAGATTAAGAAAGCCCCAATGAACTTGTCCAATCCTGCAGCTTATTGATCACTGTGAAGATCTGCCTGAAAAGGAAAGGAGGACACCCAGCACTTCCCAGGGGAAGTCAGGGAAACACAGGAATTTGTATAACATTTGCAAAAACTGCTTCTGCCACGGATATTTTAGGGCCATGGAGGACTTCCTCCGCCCTTCCTTGCCACCCCCTTTTCCCAGCAGGTCAAGTAGAAGTCTGCTGCCCTGAGCCCTGCTATCTTTCTTAGCAATCTGATTAACATATGGACACACTCTGGCTTGCTAAAAACAGGAAATCAATTTGAAAGGCAAGACAAATATTATTTGCTTTCTTCCCATCTGTTGTGATATGTGAACATGCCTGCTTTCAGCAGTGATACAGGATTATTGATTTAGGATATTTATAGTGTATATGCTGTTATCAGGCCTGCTATCAAAGGGCTGTAGGAAAGGCTGTTTGACCCTACAGGCTATTTAAATATGTAGTCACTTAAAAAAAAAAAAAAAAAAAAAAAAAAGGAAAAAAAGAGTCAGACCTTCTTATTCAAGTTGACAGCAATACTATTTCATGTCATGCCTAAAGATACCATTTCCTGCTTTGCCATCTACTTCTGTTTGATTGCAAGTCAAATTAAATGTAATTGTTAAAGGTCTCTCCTGTCTGTATGGTGACCCCAATGCATTTCCAGGCTACTGATTTGACCTTCCAGGCCTGCAAAAAGCTGGTTTTCACAGCACTGTTGCCTGTTTAGCCATAATCAGTCTGAGTCACTTTGCTAGAGGGGGCACAAAAAGCCAGAGGACCCTTTACCATAAGCACAGGCTGTCTTTTAAAATAAATGAGTTTTAAAAAGACCACATATAAATAATCAAACCCAATAATTCTGAAGTGGCCAAAGATAACCATCTAAAAAGAGCACAGCGTGCTCCCAACAGAAGCCTGGACTGCAATGTGAAATAGTGGATTGGAGTGCTGCTGAGAGTATGTAAGCACTATCTTTCATAGCAATATTGCATTCAATCTATACACTGTTCTCCACATTACTCAAGCCTTACTGAGAGGAGAAGAAAAAAATAAACAACAAAAAACCACCATGCTGGGTGGTTTTGTCAGGATGGCTTATTTTGTCATGTCACCCAAGTTAATGAGCGGGAGATGGTCCGTGCACACAGATCACAGCGGGAGCATCTCGGCAACTGATGTGCAGTCTCCCACAGCCATAAGCTACAACGTGCACCAACCTGCACAAAGCTTGCTTCCATCCAAATAAGAAGCAAAGATAGAACACGAAGGATATGCCCCATGAAGACAGATCAGCTTTGGGACATGCCATACTACTTCTATTACGAGATGATCAGTTTAGTAAATGAAGGACTAATAGGCTGAGTCCAGTTGCATGACATTCAGCAAGGGCAAGTGTCAGGTCCTGGCAAAGTTATGGGGTCACAACAACCCCATGCAGTGTGTACAGGCTCAGGGAAGAGTGGCTGGAAAATTGCCTGGCAGAAAAGAACCTGGGTGTGTTGGTCGACAGCTGGCTGAACGTGAGCCAGCAGCGTGCCCAGGTAGCCAGGAAGGCCAAGAGCTGCTCCAGAGCGTGCAGAGAAGAGCAACAAAGCTGGTGAAGTGAAGGGACTAGGAAGCAGGACTTAAGAGGTGAGGGAATTGGGGTTGTTTAATTTGCAGAAGAGGAGGTTGAGAGGAGACCTCATCGCTCTCTATAACAACCTGAAAGGAGGTTGCAGCAAGGAGGGTATTGGTCTCTTTTCTCAGGTGACAAGTGACACAACGAGGAAACAGTCTTGAGTTGTTCCAGGGGAGGTTTAGATTCAATATTAGGAAGAAATTCTCATTAGAATTAGGAAGAATGGCCTCAAGCACTGAACAGGCTGTCCAGGAAAGTGGTGGAGTCCCCACCCCTAGAAGTATTTAAGAGACATGTGATGTGGCACTAAGGGACATGGTTCAGTGATGGGAAACTGAGGTTTAGGAAGCACAGCTGTGCCTAGAAAGAGTCTGAAGAAGCTACAAGGTAATGACAAAGACTTGGTTTACTTTCAGTTCGTGCATAACATCACTTCAGTAAACTCCTGGTGCAAATAACCAGCTAGCAAACACCTGGCTACAGTTTTGGAGAAGCTGAAGAAGATGGAATTAAACCAGAAGCAAGGTATGAAATCAGCTGAGGTTATATGGTGTTATAACATCACTCAGGTGCAAATGGGGACTGTAGAAATTCACTTACTGAGCAGCACCCTGACAGGACAATCACAACTCTGAGCTCTGTACTCTCCTAGATGGACAAGTCATGTGCGGGGAGTTAATCATTGCAGAGACCTGTCACTGGCCTTCTGCCCAGAAATAAAGTTTGACTTCTTCCAACTTTCTGTGTCAGTTTCTTACATCTCTCACCTACCAAGGCATTTTGTGATCCCACTCATACAGAGGAGGATGTGAAGACTGTAGTCTTTTCTAATAAACTTTAGCTGCACCAAAAGTTGCAGAATTAATTTTCAGGGTCAGGCAATCCTCAAGTCTCAAAGGCACAGTGTCATGGGAACCCACTTCTCACCGGAATAGCATATAGTAGGAAATGCTGACATCTGGAAGCACACATCTGGTAACCATGTTTCTAAACTAGCTAAGAGTCCTTATCAGCCTCTCACACCAAACGATTACCAACTTCCTTGTGGTATGTTCTTTCTTTACAAGGTGTGTCTGTATCTCTCATGTTTATGCCATTCAGCAGCATCAACTATACAGGAATCACTTACTTATCTGTAGTACAGTGAATTTTTAAGATATTCTTGACACTGGTGCAAAGTCAAGCAGTTTGCAGTGAGTTGCTTCTCAGTTGTTTAGAAATATATGGCTGTGGAGAGTATTCAGTCCAAGCTAATAACGAGAGAATAGGAAGAAACATAAAATCTGAATCAGGCCTTAAGTCAATCTCTTTCTACAGGAAGTAGGAAGAAGCCATCATGTATATTCAAATCTACCTGATTCAAGATTTCTTGCATGTTTCTCTAGAGCACTCTGGATTTGCTGCTGTCAAACATATAGGAATTCCTTTACGGGCATGTCTTGTTACTTTTAAGCATGACAAAACTGTCCTTCACATGTGGCAGAATAAATTCACAATTAAATTATTAAATAATAATTAAGGATGTGTCTAAACTGTTATGGCATCTATCAAAACAATGTGGCATTCAAAAAAATGCGTTTCTGCAGCCTTTTTACCAAAATAAACTCATTTGGTCTTCAAAGACACCTAATTTTATTTTATTTTCTTAATTTGCTGTAACTTGTTCTCTGTTCAACTCTTTCTTCATGACCTTTGCCTCTTAGCAAACCCCTCCTGGACCCACAGTTCTCTATGACTGTAACTCAGACTAACACCACAAAAGGGCTTGGATGTCATTCATCGGGCTCCTGACTGCCTTCCAAAGCTGTCTTTCTATTCATTGCTGCTTTATCTTGACAGCACTTTGCAACTGGAACTATACCTTTGTACTTTCTGATAAACATGAAGCATAATGTTTGTTGGCTGACACAGAAATTAGGTCTCCACCATCTTGTGGGCAGCAACAAAGCATACTGTTGTTGCTCCAAATGCTGTATACCAGAATGGGCCAAATCCTAATGATTTTTTCCAAGATTATTTGGGGCTCTGATTTAATCAAGCTTTCTCTTAAATCAAGAACAAAGTAGAACCCAAGATGTCCCCACATTTGGCTTAAGAAAAAAAGTATTTTTTCTAGATGGACAAGAATTTAGCAGAGAGGAAAGGAGTCATGTTTGCAGTATCCTGTGCATCTGTGTAAAGCTCACCTACAATTATGAAAACTGTGATGCTGACTGGTGATTTACAGAGCCCTGAGCTGACTAAATGTTTGGCTTTTACTCTGCAATCTCAGGTAATTCTCCTCACACATTACCTTCAAGTATCCATGCCTTGACATTTCAAGAAATACCAAAGATACTTTCCCTAACTCAATGTGTGTTCCCTGTACAGACAGAGGGCATTTCACAGGAGTCAGTGGAACAGAAACATAAACAAACCCCGGTGCCCTGGTTAGGCGTCTGAGCAGGAATGCCAAACACCTCCCCCTGCTCTCTGTCACTGATACCTCCATCCCCATGGGTCACTGCTGGTGGCCACAGCTTTTAATCACATGCTGGGCCTCCAATGATTTATCACCTCTTAATAGTTTTTGTGTTGAAGATTCCCAGTTGGCAGCTCAGCTCCCCTTCCCCCCACCACATAGCACTGCCCAAGAGCATCAGAACCAAAGCAGGAAAATATACTGTCCATGTGGAACCTGGATTAATGCTGTTTAAGAAAATTACCTGTTACTGACAGGCGTTTTTAGCAAATAATTAGCGACACTATAAAAGACTAAGAATTATACAAAGGTTAAATACTTAAAAGTTAAATACTTAAAATCTAGTATAATGTTTCAAACAGACTGCATGGTTATCTCTTGTTTCCTGCATAGTGTTTTTAAAAATACAGACAGTCTTGCTTTTGATAAATTCTTGCTATGAGATTCAGTTTAGATTCAGCCCCAAAATGCTTCAGTGCAACTTCCTTCCAACTGTAGTGAACAGAAACACTGTGTACAGGAAAATTCCAGCAGTTATAAAGTGCCAGTATGCAAAGTGACATTTCTGATCTCAGTACATAACCAAAATTTGCCACATAGGGAAACCAACGCAGCATTTTTCATCCACAGGTCTCAAAAGTATCCAGCACTTACCTCCATTTTAAAGCTGATTTGAATTTCCAGCTCGCGGAGTGGAACCCTGCCAGGGTTAAAGCCAGGCTTCCTCAAATCCTGGCAAAAAGGCTCTGTGACAGGCTAAGACATCTCACAGGAGAGAGCACCTTTTCCACTTGGTCAAAAGCATCATAAAGTAACAGTTACAATTCCACTTTGAACAAAGAATAAACAACTTCAGTACATACCAAGCCTTTGCACCTGTGTCCCAGATTCTGGCAGGAAGGGATTCTTCCCATTCAGGAGGCAGTAATCTCTGCAGGTGGCAGTGCTGGCAGTGTTGAAGATAGAGTTGGTCCATCTCTTTCTCTGTTGGAGTTTGTCTGACGGATGCAAACAATTCATCCATCTCATTTTTTCTGGGAAACAACAAAGTAGACACATTTCAGTTGTGGGTTCTGAACACAGTTAACCTACACATCGTGCACTGGAGCCATGTTATTTCACCCTCTAGTTAAGAGGCTTAACTATTTATTATGATTGAAAAAAAATGGCTCTTTATACAAGTGGATCATATTTTGCTCCTGCTTCTTCCCCGCACATCTCTAATGCTATACCGTGGGCTGGTCAAGATACACTGCTAGCATTAGAAGAGTTAGGTTGAAAAGCTAAAGAAAGTAACAAACTTCTGTGACAAGCTTACACTCAGAAAGGCTACCCAAAAAAACTGCAAATAAAGCCCAAAGAACAAAGAATTCAAACTTTCTGCTCAAGTATCTTGGAGGGAAGTTACCTGACTGTACAGTTTGGTGTTCAATAGCTTCATCATCTGAGATGAAGAACACTAAAAATAAACAACTGTTTGGTGTTATTAGACAGTCACATATTTTTCTGTACACGTCGCCTCTTCTTCTCTCTTCCGTTTTCTTGATCTTCCTTTCTGCAATTAATGTATAAAACAGTTAAACTTTTTCTTGATACTTTTCTGTGATGTTTTCTTCATGAACTGAAAATCGTCTGGGAAATAAAGGAAGCCTAGACTCCAGTTTCTGTGGGCAATCTTAGAAAGCTGACAGTTGTCAACAAAAGTAAACGTAATATTTCAGGCTCCACAACTCCTCCATACTTTTAGCGAAGTAACTACAGCTTGTGGGTTAACCTTTGCCAGCAGCCAGATGCCAACCCAGCTGCTTGCTCGTGCTTCCGCCTCCTCAGTACAGCAAGGTGGAGAAAGATGAAAAACCTCATGGGTCGAGATACAGCCAGGGAGATTGCTTACCATCATGGGCAAAACACACTCAATCTGGGAAAAATAATTTAATTGACAACCAAAACAGATTTTGACACTGAGAAACAAAATATAAATTAAAGCAACAGCTTCCCCACCTTTCCCAGGCCCAGCTTTCCCTCTTCATTCTCAACGCCTCTACCTTCCTGGTCCTGAGAAACACAGGGAGACTGGGGGACAGGCTACATACAGCATGGTTGTTCCTCTACGCCACCCCTTCCTCCTCACAATTTTCCCCTGCTCCAGAGCAGGCTTCCCATGGGCCACGGCTCCTTCAGGAAACATCCACCTGCTCCAGCATGGTGCCCTCCTTGGACTGCAAGATGGATATGTGTTCTGGTGCAGTCCCCCCACTGCCTTTAAGTGAGAGTAAGTAAAATTTTTATCTGTAAAACAATAACTCAGCATATACCTAAAGATGTTTAAATACAAACACCATTTAATTCATGAAACTACCTGCAATACTGCCTTACAAAGGACTGTGCACATACACAACCCAGGACTTAGTAAGGAAAAAAGGCAACCCAGAGGACTACAAGCCAGACTGTCTTCTTGCATCCAGTAGTGCAGAACACAGGTGGATCAATTTACAAAGGCAGAAAAAATAATAACCAAATCCAATTGATCAACTTAATTGCTACCACATGGTACATAAATAGCATTTCTGCATTATGTCATACAACTATTGTTGCCCTGTGTGGTAACAAGCCCTTAACAAATAGGTGTATGAAAGAACAAGGGTAGGCCAGAGCCCTCATAAAGCAAACTGCTTCTTTCTTACAGCTTTACCACTCGCCATAGACTGTGATGGAAGTGCTAAAAGCTACGGCTAACACACAGGAGGTTTGTTTATTGCATTGTATGGACCAAAGAAGAATTTCCTGCATATGACACTGAAGGCAGAGTGCACAAAAATTCCTCTAAAGTCTGCAGAGAGCATTGAACAGACCCTCCTCTGTATTAGCTTTTTTCTTGCATATCTGTGTTTTGAATTTTAACACAGCTGTGAAAGGGGCAAAAGAAAGCAACACCAATAATCTTGCCAATTGGGCATTCAAATGTCAGACACAAAGGAAAGTTGGGTAAAGCTATGATTTTGCTGTGGGCAATGATTGTGTCCAACGGTCAATGACATCACTGCCAGTGCTGTCTCCATCACGATTTTCCAGAACAGGATTACCGTGATGACAGATTCCATTCCAAAACTCCCAGGCAGCTCTTTACATAGATGTTAGCAGAACAAAAGCATTACATGAGATTTCCTCTCTTCATCAAGCAGCATTTGATGTTCTTTAATCCTTACCTTGGGAAAAGTATTCGAGAACCATATGGGCTTGCTGAAATCACACCGGATGTCTTGTCTCATGGCTAAAACTGTGTTAAGGATCCTGTATTGGGTGGAAAGGGCAAAGAAAGTAGGTCGTATCTTTTGTTTCCAAGATGAGGGCAAGAATACCATCCCCCATCCCTGCAAAGTTATGCAGTTATCACAGTCATGTGCAATTGCCACATTCTCCATAGAATACTATTTTGTTGACTTAATAGGTCATAATATGAAAAAGAAGAAAAAAAAAGAAAAAGAAAAAAAGAAACACAGAAAAAGCATTAACTATGCTGTAATAGAAAATCATTCAGTAGCCAGAAAGAAGTGACGAAATACTAAAAATGTAAAAATGTCTTCTACTTTTGTCTTGAAAAACTCAGTCCTTAGCTTGTACAAAATTTTGACCATTGTTTGACTACAGAGGTGTTGGAATTCACAGCACTGGACACCTGGAAGATTTCATTAAGAATTAATAACCAGTGTTTTCATACATTTTAAACACATTTGACCAAGTAGTCAAGAATTCACATGTTCAAATAATTTAGTCCTCTTTTCTGAGGGGGACATCATCTATTGACTTTTAACTTTGGCTATAAGTTATTCAATTAATATTACTACTTTGTATGAAAACTTAGTCTTATTTGTATCTATTGCCAATCACATAATCCTAAACATCAGTAGCCTTAATTGTCTGCATTTTGTGTTTCAACCTCCATCTTAGTAGAAATATTTTCTTCTCCTTTGTGGGATGGTATTCAATGAGCAAGGATCCATCAAAGCAGCAGTTTAAATCACATTTTCAAAATCAGATGCATTCATCCCATTTTCATGCTGTGTATATTAGAGGAATGATCAGAAACTAAAAGTAAATAAAATAATAGCATAAATTCTTTTAGCATTACTATTTTTTCAAAATTACCTTTAAAATGCTATAGCTCTAACTTTTTCTCAGCCTTTCATATTCATACACTCTCCATTGGTATTTACTTAATGGATAAATCAAAGCATGTTTAACAGGTGGTATTGTAAAGAACCTTCTGCACTTGAGACAACTGCTCCATTATCTAAATACGTCTTTAGGTTTGGGGCCACGATCGAAAGTTTACATTTCTTACATTACCCAGTGCCTCATTTCTTGCACCAGCCTCTGTTTTATTAACAACAGTGAAGACAAGCTGTATGTTTCAGATATGAACTCACACAAAAGCATCTCCTAATTCAGAGCTAGCAATTGATTCAGGACCATCTCTGCTATCAGATACATAATTCTTTTGTCCCCTGCTGTATTCTGGGTGTATTCTGATACTTCTGCAGTGTGATGAAACAAATTTAGATTAAGCTACTGGGATGCTGCCCACCCCAAGTGACTCAGGCAACTTCTGCATTGTTACAGTGACATTCCAAGTCCCCAGGTTTTATCTGAGCAACACAATCATAATTCTTTGAAAACTGCAAGAAATGAGCAGTGATTCAAAAAGGGGTGTGGTTTTTTTTTGGTTGTTTGTTTTAACTTTTAAATGCAAGAAAAGTGTTGCAATAATAATAATTTTTTTAAAAGTATTTCATTGCCCAGCATTAACAAGCATGTCACTGCAAGTAAAAATGGTTTCCCATCTTGGATAGCTTGAGAAGCAGATGAATACCATGGCTGTCTTTTTCTTCTTGATGTCCCTGTATAATTGATCTCAAGCTAGGAACTTTGCATTCCAGCAAAAGCCTGGATTAAAAATTTAGACCAACAACAGTCAGCCATCAATCTTGAGGCCATCTATCCTATCTACAACCATTTGCATCAGTGATTAGCTATGTAGTAACTCTTAAGTCTCAGGCAAAGAGATCACCTTTCAAAGAGAATAAACACTCAGAGGATATCCCCATTCATTCCTCCTATTCTATTGCTAATTCCAGTGTATTACTCCCTCAGTACGTACAGTGAAATGCCATGCTTATTGCTTTGGTCATATTTATATACCACATTACTAAACAGCAGAAAAGAACTCACTGTTTCCTTTTTCTGGACACGACTTCCTACAAAGATTTAAATGTGGATTTTCCAAAAATATTTCAGAACAGAATGCTATGACTAAAAACACCTGCAGTATACATCAATAATTACTTGATTTTCATTTATACCAATTTTCCTAACACCATTCCTGAAGTGCAGCATGGCAGCACTGGTAGGAGGCTCTGCTCTTTGTGCTGCCCATTTCTTTCAGCCTGTTAGGCTGCGCTCAGGCACAGACCAAGCGGCTGGAGAAGGACTGCCCCATTAAAGCAGCCCTGTCAGCAGAGCTGCTGGCTGTGATTGCCTGAGCTAGGATTGCAAACTCTGCCTGGATTTCTGTTCCCCTGGTTGTCCTGACGGAAGAAAGAATACTGCACTTTCCTGTGCTGAAACAGCCTCCTTCGAGCCAACCTGTCACGAGCACATCATCCAGCACAAATAAATAATGTTTATATTTAGAATATCAACAGGGAGCATACGTGGCTTGCCGTACTTCCTAAATAGTTACATTACTCAAGATAATCTTCTTAATTGCTTAGGTAAAATTTTCCAATTGTTCACACTCCTCTGGGGTTTTCTCACCGCAATTTTTATTCCTAAGGAGCAACAATAGACTAAAGGAACTGCTATTACTTTGGGACTGACCATTAACACCATCAGTTTATTTGTTTGCTTTATTTTTCAGATAAGTTACAGGATCTAGAATATTATTTCTTTTTTCATGTGCATTACACCGAAGATCCTCATGACCGCAGTTTTCAAGGGGTTATACAACATTGGTCTTAATTAGCTTGTTATTTTTCATTTAGGACACCCTGTTGGAATACTCAAGTGTTAAACTGATGAAGTCAATAATAAAGTTATATTATGCCTTTTTTCTAAGAGTCAATTCACTTTTAGGGTGCATTTTTCTAAACTACCTGGGAGATTCAGAACTATTGAGGTCAATGAGACCTACACTTCTATGTCATTTTGAAAAATAGCTTTTCTATTCACCAAATTTCACTGCCCTGATTCCTCTTACTGTAGCATTTGAAGCTATCAGTATAGTTATTCATAAATACATGTCCTGTAACAGCACATGACAATTATTCTTTACATATGAGGACAGAGATACAGGAAGAGTTTGAGTCAGATCCATGGAAAACAGAGCCCCTTTTTATCTCATTTTGAAGGAAATGCCCAAATACTCCCACGGATCTAAGCCTAGACAATTCCTCTAAAAGCACCCAGGAAGACACCAGCCATGCAGGAAGTAGGACCTGGCTCCCAAACACCACCTTGGCCTTTCAGATGCTTATTTCTTCCCTCAGAATAGAAGCAATACCAAACTGCAGCCCTGCTGTGTGACACACCACCACTATCTTCACCCTGCAACCCAGCAAACTGAGGCATAGATCAGTAATAAAATAAATGCCTGAAGTTTGTCGCTACACATTCAGACCTCTGTTAGTTGTTTCTAAGGCATTACGTTCAAAACACTTTCCACTGAAGCTAACGAGTTAATTCACGAGTTGCTTTGTAACTTCTCGTAAACTGAAATCAATTTGATGAAGCCCATAAGAAATGCAGTTTTCAAAGTCAAGGAAGATAATCTGGTGTCTAAGCATGAGTCTGAGTCAAATCTTACAGACTCCTCTTTAAACTCCTCATCTATGCAATCATATTCCTAGCTAAAAATAGCAATATTGGAGTGAAAAGGTATGTTATCTGATTTTTCTTTCCTAATATATTTTAAATATATTCAGAAAGCATACATATTCTGGCTAACTTTACTTTAAAAGTGTTTTGTGTGCACAATTAAGATATTAAGCTCTGGTCTATCTGTGTTGTTAGGAATTTAAGTGTGCCCAGTACTGACATATCATTGGTATTTAACAGTTCTGCCTTTAAAATCATCATAATTTGACTTCAGAGTATTGCGAAAAGCTAAAAAAAGATTTTAAGAGCTGGAAAATGACTTCTCTTTCCAGACTGTTCAGAGTACTGTACATTCATTGTACTTTTGAAGGCAATGTGACTTGTGAAACTGGCAACGTGCCCAACCATAGCGTCTTAGAGATGTTTATAGCACATGATATTTTAATTGCCTGATGACAAAATTATTTGGAAAGATATCAGTTTCACAATGTATTTGCTTCATATTTCAAACAAAAACTATGAGGTTTGAATAGCACTAAGTTCTGGATATAAGCCCAACAAAACAACACAAACATCAGGGAAAGGTGTCCCTAATCCATCAGCCTTAATGTGCCCATGAACATACATGCATAACTAAGGTGTTGCTGGGGATTCAAATCGGCCCATAACTATCCAGGTGCTACAGACATGCATCATGGATGAAATCCACAGTTCCTCCTTAGGGCTTGATTTTTATTTTATTTTTACGCCGTGTCTTCTTAGGAGTCCTTTTCTGAAGCAAGCAGTGGCTGCCTTGGGTCAGATTTTTTTATTTTTATTTTTTAGTTTTTCCAATGAACAAAAGCCTAGCATCTTCCAAGGTACACTTGTTTAAAATAGGGAGCTATTGAACAATGACAATACTCAAGAAATGCATATTAATTTTGTGCTGAAATTCCCACAATATGGTCAGATCTACAGATTCAGACCACAGAATTTCACCTAATAGACAAACTGACCTTCTGCACATCTATGGAGTAATAATTAATCAGAGACTCTCCCTAAAACAACAGAACATTGATAATACCTGAAGGGCTGTCTACTGCCTTCTGAGTGGAGTTTGCCACTTTGTTTTGGTGTGTAAAATCATAAAATGGCTTTGGATATGCCTATTCAAGGGGCTGACTATGTTGCATTCACAATCTTGGAGTCTTCTGCCTTACATTAATGGACATGAGCACGTATAGAAACTCCTGCCATTTTGGAATTCACGCGTCACTTTCTATAAGCACGTATGTACAAATAATCCCATCTGTTCAGCCTCCATTAGCAGATCTGCTGTTAATATCCCACCTTTTAAATGGGTAGTCAGGAAAGCTGATTAGCTTGGTGAGTACAAAAGAAGAGAAGATTTTAATGATTATGCTTTGTTGCAACTTTTTAATTGGGAAATTTCTTTCATTTCTTAAGTTGTTTTTGGTGTTGGTTTTTTAGTTTTGTTTTATTTCTTATTATTTTTCAATCATCTTACCAGGGCATGTAGGTAACCTTAACAAGACTAATCAAAGTTATAAATGAGGAAAAAAGCCTCTTCAATACAGTCCAGTTTTAGGCTCCTGAAACTGTTTACACGGTATCTCAGTATCTTTTGCATGCAAAGAGTAATTTCATGAGCAGTTTTTTTTCTTTTTACAAAGCCCACATAAATATACTCAAGACATTTGATCAAAGTCCTACTAACTGGGCTTGATGATTTGCAAATTCAGGTCCTGCTGAAGTATGTGAAAGCAAATCATCTGGCTATGAACATGATTTCCACCAGCTGAAGATCTAATCTGTAACAAGTCTTTCATAATGATTTGTATTTAGGAAAAACATGGGCCCCACTCCCAAACTGGGAGTTTACTGGAGCGCAGTTGTGGAAAAGGAGTTACATCGGTGCTCCTTACCACATTAAAGATTAAGTGTAGTAAATGGTGACTGACCCTTATCTGTACCCACTCTAGTAGGTGTCACTATAATTTATTCCCTAATGGGATTTCCTTTCTCTGTCTCCCTAGGTCTGTGGCCTCATTTATCAGCTCAGTAGCACCTGTAACAAAACATGCACGTATATTCTACAACACACGTCACATCCTTACAAGGACTGAGGGTAGCCAGACACCCTGAAATATGGAATGTGCATTAGAAAGCGTGGTCCATAAAATTTCAGACTCTGAGAGCTTTTTGCAGCCTGACAGATTTTCCCATATAGCTTTCCACATTCCTAGTGTAACCCAATACAGGCAGTGTAGGCTGAATGATACACAGAGACGCCTTCAGGAAGCTTTGGGAAAACGGAGCCTCAAAATATTACACTTTGCTCTAACTGTTGCATAGGTGACTGCTAAGGCTGCAAAGCCCATTTCTTCATCTTAGAAGACAAGCAGAAAAAGCGAGAATGGAACAGAACAAATAATTAAAAATGTTAATGAACTATCACTACCCTTGAACACTATCTCTCATAGCAGCACCTCAGCAGACAAATGATTTTAAAATTGTTTCTGCATTAGGTGCACCAGTAAATTCTACTGTAAAACTGGGTTAGTAATATCTGCTAACCATGAGAAGCATGAAAGCATATTTCTGCTACTTGACTCAGTTATATTCCTTCTATGTACCAGCTGCGTGCTTGCCAGCTCTAGCTTATACATATATTCATCACAGCCTGCAGCCACAAGCAACGTGCATGCAACACACACGAACACTCAGAAAATGAACGCCTCAGTGCAGCCAGCATCGAGCCAGGCTCTCAGCAGCACTCAAACCGCACAAGAAGAGCCCAGAGCCGGGCCGGGGCAGGAGCATGCTGCCAGGGCTCCCCGCACCATGCGGCAGGCGATCCTCCAGGTCAAACCCTGGTGTAAAGTGGAGCATCTTCAGAGCTGCTCTGCTTTGCTTCAGCTGTCAGTGACTTAGAGCTGTTGCAGTTTTCAGGCATTGTTGGGATGTTTGGACCATGCTCCCTTGCTTATAGCTTTGCATCCTATGCAGCATAGGAACTGCTATGGCAACAGCAAAGGATTGCAATGGACTGCCTTTCACTGTATAGATCCCATAGACCAGTGCATACTCACAAGAGCATAACCAAGAACCAGGGCCAGGATGACTAATAATGACCTTCTGAGCAGCCACAGCACACTAAGAGTGCACAAGGTAGAAAAGATTTTCAAATAAAACAATGCATAATATACCACAGCCACTATATTGTGTCCGCATTAGTGCTGGGAAAGCAAGCTTCAGCTGGGAACGTTTTCAATAGCTGTTGTGATCAAAAGAGGGAGAACAGACATGACTCTTACGTGCCACGCCTGTGATTCCAAAATGTATGTTAAAAAAATGTGCAATCATATTTCTGACCTTGGATTTGGGCAAAACACGGAAACACTGAGCCAGATCATATGTTCATCAGCTGTTATTCTTATTTACAACTGGACAGCAAAATCAGATAACATTGCCTCTGTTCCTTCATCACTCAACTATGTGGTACACACAGGAAAGATTTCAAGATGACTGAACATTATTTCCAGGCTGAATCTGCGGGCAACCACAATCTGCAGATTATTATTATTTTTTTAATAAATCTTCTGCTGTTTTTGTTGGTGAAAAAATGTTTGCTGGAAATAGACTGAAATACTGTGAATGACAAGAAAAATGTTGCACTTTTCTTTAGGATTCATTTTGTTTAACTTACAGATGGAGAAAACAGGTTCTTTAAATATTAGATACCAACTACAGGTTCAAATTCTTCATATACTCATATTATTGAGGTTATGATTTTAAATGACTAACCCAAAATTCTGGTACAAATAAAAGTATGTCAACTTTTTCTTTGATCTGAAAAATTACGTCCCCTGTGATACAACACCAAAAACAAAACAAAATCAAAAACAAAGAATGAAGGAATATCCTTCTAGATATACTTTGAGCTTTGGCTCAGCAACACAATACTGTGCTGAGAGGTTATTCATATCTGGTACATGTATCTGCCTAAAATACAGCCTGTGAAATACCATGTTTTCCACTAATAGAAGTAAATATCGGAAAGTAACTGACAACAAATGCATAAGATCATCTTTTTCAGTGATGTTGCTCACAAAAAGAATGCAATGAGCTATTATTTGCATAAGAACCAACAGGATTTCCAGCTTTCCTCAAAATGACATCAGTGTAATCTGAAGACAAGGAAAACAAAATATTCAAGGGACATTCCTCCCTTCTCACTCACAATGAGCAACTGTGGCATTAATTCCAGCTTGTGAGGTATCTCCTGGAGACAAACTTCCACTCTGTGGCCTGAGGGAGAACTTGGCAGGTACCAGTGCCCCAGTTCTGTTAATGAAAGGTTAACCTGTAAAACAGAAAAAATACTTCTCAGTCTACATAAATACAGCTTTCTAGTTTTAATCAACACAGTGATACAATTTAGCATAGCTTAAAAAAATAATCACAAGGCTTATATGGGGTAGTGCCAATCTCTCATTTTAGCACGATGGACTCATTTTAGCAGCTAACTTGGTCTGTCATATTCTAGGTGGCTGCGTGAAGGAGGGTGCTAGTCATTCCAGAGCTCTGAGGCACAGCTGGGTTTTCTTATTTTTAGCAGAAATTTCAGGTTGGGACCAAAGAAATCTTCCCATACAAAATTTCTATCACAACTTTTCCACCTTTTTCAATTTGAAAATTTAGTGTCTTCCTCCATCAAAGCCTCTAACATTCAGAGAGACAGCAACTCTCACATTTTCACGTAACCTTTCAGAATGCAATTCAGCTCTCTCGGTCACTTACCTCCCAGTTTGATTTGCGTAGACACAAATTGTTTCCTGCATGCAGAGCTGTGCTGCCAGAGAATGGCAAGGCTCAAAGGAAAGAAAGGCATTTCTTTATTCTCTCCCTTTCCTCTCTTGGTAACTACTCAGATGCGTTGCATTGTAGGCCACTGGACAAGATAGTATAAAATTCACATAATTTGTTAGCAAAGAGCAGGGAAACACTGACTCCTTTGTATTACTCTTTGGAGGCTATAAACTTCAGTATCATAGCAGCTCATCCATCAGGATCTAACGTTTTCAGAGCAAAAGGTACTACAACAGAAATAGCATTAAATGCATTTTTTTCCACATGTATATGCCTGTGCACTGCCTAACATAGAAGATCACCAGTCTGAATAACAGCGATGTTACTTTCACAAAAATGATCATAATCATATTTAGGAGAGATATCACACCTCCCAGCACTGATCATTGAGATTTTTTTTAAAGTAATAAAAATATTATCACAGGCAGGCCAATCTATGCCACAGCCTGCAAATGATACAAGGTATTTGTGCATGGAATTATATCAAAAGTTTATTTATACACTTGAGTCATTATGTACTGCTGATCTTATCTTCTTATCAATAATGTCACAGTAATGTTTACATGACAGAAACAGAATTCGTCACTGACACTCATGCACTAGTTTGCACCAATAGTAAATTGAGCTGTTTTTATGGTTGCGACCTACACTTTGAACACGTGGAAAAAATATATATTTTTTGAATCCAGAATGAAACCTCAAAACTTTTCCTAAATGAAACTATGCTAATAAAAATCTCAAACTTGTCAGCACAGTAAGTTACACACACGTTTAGCTAGAGAAAAAACATAATGATGAGATTGTTTTTTGGGGGGAAGGGGAATTAATTCCCCCAAATGTACTAGAATTGTCGTAAGCATCTTTACCTTCACATGATCATATGAATCATTCTTATGTTAACTGAAGTAAACTTGAAACAGAGAGCAATTTTTGAGGTAATCCAGTACTTGAACTTTCCATTTAATTCACAAAAGCTATGAAAATGCCTCACGTACTATTACAAGTTGAAAGTCACCTGCTGTCAGAGAAGCCAACCAAACTAATGTGCACACAATCTCCACCAGTGGTTGAAGAGCAAACTGCAGAACAGGTGATGTGAAGCCTTGACAGCTAAATGAGGTCAACTGACAGGCATTATTCTGAAGTAGGAGGACAAAAATGGAAAGAAGAGCCAAAGTTGGAAAGAAAGCTTTTGGAGTCCGAACAGCACCATCCTGGGCAAGCTCCTTTTGTATTTGAAAACATAAAGAATTTGACATCTGTCCCTTCCTAGCAGAAACCCAAGCAATCATCTCCGAAGTAGGCAGTGAATCATGGAAGCGTACTGTATCCACAACAAAGAACAGATAAACTAATACACACTAGAAACAGAGACAAACAGGCATTTCCTGAACTTCTTTGAGAAAGACAAAAAGATTCATGCTATGAAAAACAGTACACATATATCCCACCAAAAATTCCAAAATCTGAACGCTTCCTCAAGCCCCCAAATTTCACAGATGGGTAGTATTTTACATTGGACCCAGACAGGCAATTTACTTTTAAAAAGAGCAGTCGATGAGCATTCCTAACAAAGGGGCACTGGGCTGTCCACTGGTACAGCCTCAGCCTAGACACAGAGATGGAGGCATCCGTCACAGGCATAACCACCACAATGAACAAGTTTCAGGATCATCAGGTTATTCCAAAACAAGTCTTTACTTGAGATAAGTCCAGTGTAATAGGCAGGTTTATTCACAAATGTACACTTCCCCAGGTAACTACTTTTCATTCAATAGATCTGTGCCGTAAGAAGTGCTTTTCTTGTGCTGAAATAGTTACAACCACTTTGCTGTAAGTTTCTTTCAAAGTTATTTATTTCTCATTTTAGCCTTCACCTACCACATGCAAGCTGAGCATCTTTAACTCCTCTGAAAACCAGCTTGGGTATCTGGATTCTGAAACTAACAATAATTTAAACTTCTGGATGCTGAAGGCCTGTTCAGGCTAACATAAAGTCAATAAAGAGAGAAGAATCCTGAGCTGCATCTATGGATCTCACCTGGTTTGGGATCAGAAGCCAAGCAAAGAGCAGATAAGACTCCGTTATCTAAGGCTCTGATGAAGCAGACGTCAAAACAAGACTTTTGGAAGCAACACAATTTATTTCATCAATATTTTCATTAGTTCCTTGTGTTGGTTGCTAACAGTGATTATGTGACTGAAGGGATGGTGAAAGGAAAAGCCCTTGGAGACCTGAGGTTACTAACAGCGAATCTTCCCGTACTGATTTTAAAATTTCTCCTGACTGCACTGTAAATGCTCACACGCAGACTGAGGAGAGGTAACTGGGTTTTTTCCTTTTTTCAAGTACAGTTGGCAGTGGATCCTACTCATGGTCAGTTGCTTGGCAACAAAACAAGTTTCTCTGGCTACAAAATAAATATTCCACATTTGAAATATTTGAGAAAACACTGTTTTTCCTAACTACATTCCATAGTACTTGGGCCATAGGGTTTCCCAGAATAGTTTAAAATGTTAACAGGGTTACACAAAGGACGCCCTCCAATTAGATTATTACTCTGAGACAGATACAGATACAGATACGTCCCCCTATGCAACACTGTTCATATTCTTAAAATAGTATGTTAAATCTACTCCATGGTCTAGAGCTCATGTAAAGTACTTTAACTGCCTAGGAACAAATTAGCTAACTGGATCCTGCGCCCTTTTAAATCTAGGCGTGGTGGGAGACATTTTGCAGGGACTAAAAATCTGGAAGTCGCTATATTCGGTCTGAGATGCATGCCAAAGAAAGCATGTCTAAAGAAAGAACCAGAGTGCAGACAAAATCAGATATCTCATCAACTGCCAGAGCCAAAGAGGTATGCTTCTGGAGGTACATGCTCTAGGATCAGCACAGAAAGTGTTAAAGTTACGTGCCTTCAGGTAGCTCATAATTGGGACTGCTGACTTTCTCTTCATCCTTTCAGCACAACACTTTGCTTTGTTGAGTTCACAGACAGCAGATGCCAGTTCTTCCTGCCTTCTGGAAGCACTTGTCACATCGGTCAATGCTAAATAACATAATGGACAGACTCATAATTGTCAGATGCAAAGACAACATCCTGGGCCAGTAGAGCAGAACACTGCAGAATCAGACCACTAGTCCAGATGACACTGCACCATGCCCCGTCATGATCAACACTGGATATCTAAGAGACTAAGAGCAGGACAAGCACATAGTGATGCTTCTCTAGCCTCTTCAGGTTCCTGTAGTACAAGGATTTCCTGCATTTGAAGCCCCAATAAATCTTTCTTCCATGAATTTGTCTTAATACAAAGATCAGGGAGGAGACATAGCAATCTCTAGCGTTATTATTTGATAGTAATTCCCAAAATCCATTATCTTTTTTAATAATATGTGTGGAAAAGAAAAAAAAATCTTTAAAGAAACCAAAACAATTATTGACACTAAAGAGAGGTTATCAGCCTCATGAGTTTCAATTAGAGACACTGATGAAGAGCTCAAAGGCCGGCAACTCTCAATGGGGAAGCAGCCAGGGCTTGTGGAAAATGGTCTCTTAAAACACACAGGCTCGCGCTGGTTGTAAGTTCAAACATTCCTTTAAATATGGGACTAGGGCTCCAAAGGCTCACTAGAGCCTTTCCTAAAAGGGGATTTAGGCATGTACCCCTGATACTCAGTCTAGCTATCTAAGGCCAACATACAAAGCTAAAAACCTCCCAAGCATACCTAAATACTATATATGTCTCTTTTCTACACAGATTTCCCTTATTTTTATTCTTCTGCATACACCCAGAGTGTTTACATCTCTGTGCTGGAAGCTCCTCATCTATCACACACCAGTGTGAACAAGATCTGGAACTAAGCTATACCTGTCTGCTCTTCTCTCGAGTAGTGGACATGATAAAAGCTCTCGAGTCCAGTGGACACGATAAAAGCCCACTATCAGACTTGAGAGAAGCAACTATTGATTTCTTATATGACACAGGGAAAGAAAACTTATCTTCTTATTTAAAAGTAGACAATTTTTTCCAAGGGATTCCTGCTACTTTCAGCAGACAGGATGGACAGTGTGTACATAATAAGTTCTCATGTTTTCTTCTGGTCCCCTTTGCAAGAGTAATTTCCTCCTGAATACCCTTTAATTTTTATATGTTCCGTAGATGCTGATTAACATTCTTGTTATATCCATGTTACCTCATCTTGCAATGAAGAGGATCTTAGAGAATTACTCAATTTGCATCTTGTTTTAAGTGTCACACTTCAGATTCTCAGAATTCAAATTCTCAGCATACCAATTTACTTGTTAAACTGGTACCAGTTAACTTGTTACACTGCTTTGATCTGCAGCTACTAGTTCTGGGCACATAATTAAGTTATATACAGGTTCTCCAGGTAAGCATTCAAAAAAGTAAAAGAAAACATTTAAGTGTTTTCACTCAAAACTCAGTGACAGGCAAAGACAGGACTAATTTTCTCATAACTGCACTCAAAACATTAATCTTCCTAAAGCTCTGTCTTCCACACTCCATCTTTTTGGAACACTCAAAGCACTGTCACTGCAACCTTCAATCCCACAGCATGACAGCCAGAGCAATAAATGAGCAAAAGAACCTGTGGGAAAAGAGCAGTTTAAGACTGTATCATAATGCCTGGGGGCAGAACAAGAAGTGCACATAAAGCCTTAATTCTATCACTGTCTTCATCTCAGTACTTAACTTTGTTACATCCTGTTAATACAGCCAGCTAAATGCCCAGCACACAAGGCTACGCTGATAATTCTGTGTTTGACCAGCAACACCCGAGGATACAGACGCAGAGCACTTTATGGAAGATGAGGGGTAGATGGGACAGAGGAATTTTTGACAGTAAGTTTGACAGCAAGTTTCACAGAAATTTTCTGATAGCCAAAAAATGTGAAATGCAAGTCCCAGGATTTGTCTGGTCCAGCAGACATTTTATCCTGTTCTTATCCCTTTGGCATTTCTCTGGACTTCTTGTTCCAGGACAAATCTCTTTGCTCAGTAAGACTTAGCCTCCCAGCCTCAGCTTTATTGCTTACTCCAGCCTCCTCTTTTACCCTGTCTGTTAGCCCAAGCTCTCCTAACTTCCTTCAGCCTGTCTCCTATCTCAGCTTTGCATTAAGTCAACTCACCTGCTTTTACGTGGGTTTTGCTCTCAGTCCTTACATCCAGCCTCAGTGCCCACCTCCTCACTGGCTGTTCTTGTTTCAGCATCATTCCCCACTTCTTTCCAGCTCTGTCTCCTAGACTGCTGTTCCTTACCAGATCTGGACACACACAGCCTCCCCCAGTTCCTTCTGAGCAGCCCAATACTTCTGTCCCACTCACTTTGCCTGAACAGGGCTTGATTCTCACCAACCCAACAGCTTCTGTCCACCCTCTTATCTCCATCCCTCAGCCTTAGTGCCCATTTTCCTACACGGTGCAGTCTAGCTCGCTTTCTATCAACTATGCACAGCCACTTTCCTCCTCTGCCTAAACTGTCGTTACAGAGTCTTCTTTTCCCTGATGATTTCCTTATCCTTGTTTACACACATCAGATCTAGTTGTGTCCCCCTTGAATTTCAAGCAGGTGTTTAGGTAGTTTTGTTTATGTGAACATGAGTTACACATCCCTGATATGGAAAAAAAATCCAGAACAATTGCATGTCCCAAAATGGGATGTCTACATCTTGTCAGAGAAAATATTGCCAATAATTTTGAGCATGTGTAAAACAATGTATTTTTCTGTAGCCTTGTTCTTGGAAGACACTAAACTGTTCTGGCTGAAACTTTCTGAAGAGAATTCAGCCTGAGGCAGACACCCAATGCAACACGGAAAATTTGTTTGGTTTGAAAAGTTACTTTGACAAAGTTGTGAATAGCTGAAAATAGGGCTTCAGGACTGGAAGTACCTGGCAGCCTTAGCAATAGATGCCACTACTAGCCCCACCTGTACCAAAAATCAAAGGGCCACATTATAAGGTCACCCATTTTGGTGTCAATCGAGCATAAAACAACTGCATTTATGGATTTTCTCTGGGTTTCTGTTACCATAACTGAGATGAGGCTTCTGCCATTTAGTTGTCCTACAATTTGATGCCTTGTTGAATCTAGACAGAGAGATTCTGCTCCCTAGAGCTCCCTAGTCATGGACTAGGAGTGAGGGTAGCAGCACTACTTACAAGACATCCCCGGAGCTTCAGTTTCTGATATGGCAGCTCATCATAAAGAGCTAGCAGACAAGCCACTGGGCCTCCAGCTGTTCAGACTCCTCCTGCGAAAGTCAACATAATCGTATCCTTACTTGTGTCTTCAGCTTCTCCACCGAAGTCTGCTGTAATGGAGCTACCTAAAGTAATTAGACCACCTGTTGCATCGCCAGATCTATTTAAGGCACTCCTACTGGAGTTTGGTTTACATGGTTTGACAGTAATTGTTTAAGTGGATGCCATTGTAATGACACTGCAAAATATAATTATAGACTTATTTTAATCAATAAATATAATTACACGCTCAGACTATGAGCTTATCTGTAATTAGTTCTCCATACCATAATGCAGTCCATGATGCCAACTTTGTGCGCATTACAGAACGTCAAAAAGAAATTACATTAGCAGATGACAGGATATTTACAATCAATTGAGCTTTTGCAGATCAGAAAGATTCTGAGTCCTGGCAAAAGAAAAAATCACAAAGTACTAACTGTGGAACTTCAAAATGGCGATTTGGTTTGGGAGCAAATTTGGTTATAATGGTACCACTAGTACCAGGAAAATGGTCGCTAGGTATTTCCACAGCCCTGATATCCACCAATGCAAAGAAGATTTTGCAACTTCAGTTACTTAGGCAGTTTGTTCTGAGTCATTTTTTTTCTCCTCCAGAACTATACAAGCTTGTATAGCATAACAAAGTGGGAAGGGCTGTTATCATAGGATATTAAAAAATTAACATTTCCATATAAAAATCTATGCACATACATGCCAAAACGCATACCCACATACATATCTGTATATGCTTATAGCCAAGGGTGTACAACCAAAGTAAATAAATGCTCTCCAACATTTAAAGTTGACCCTACTGACACCTGTAAGATAGACACACACTGATCTTAGAAGAGGAAATTCAGAAATAGGAAGTCATGATAACCTTCCAAGAGTAGTCTCAAAAAAAAAAAAAAAAGAAAAAAGAAAAAGAAAAAGAAATAGTACTTACATAACTGACTCACACTTTTGTCCAAATCACTGGCTTCCAACAAAACAAAGCATAATCCTATAAATGTAAGAAATTGTTACAATATTCTAGCAACAGTTCTGCATCCATGTCATATACTTCCATTTATTTTTTTTTAATATACGTGTATTTGATATGTATGCATTACTAGATAAGCAAAAAAGAAATCAAGAAATCATTTCACACACAAATGTTTATGAGCAACAGTGAAATATAAGAGTTTTTTTTTTTTAAGTGCATCACAGGTGGCCAATAAGCTTCTATAATATATCAGGAATATGTTTATGTGTAGTGGATTTGAATATCTATGTATATAAATTAATGTTACATTTATAAGGATTTTTAATATCATCACAGTATTTAGTGACATTAGCGACATTTTTTCTATTCATTTACATATACCTTGGTTTCATGTCTTGAAAGATGGCTCCATGGCGCAGCCTTCATTCACATTGTCCACAGCTCAAAACTGCTGTTAAACATATGCTTATTTTTAAATATGTCCTTAAACACAATCAAAAACAGTGTGGTGTAAGCATCTTCTTAAATACCTAGCTGAAATTGAATCGGTTTTAAAGGACTCTAGAATGATTCCCAGCCAACCCCATTCAACTCCTATTGAAATATGGGCTTCAGGATGGAACTTAAATAAAGTACAACTACCTGACATGAAGCATTTATTCTCCAATTTTTTTTCTTCTGCTGCATTCTGTCTCGTAAAAAGAAAATAACTTGTAAGCACAGAGACAACCTAGCTTTTATATTTTTTTAATACTGTAAAACAAGTAAAAATATTATTAACTTGATACTACATTTTCCTGAAAGAAAAATATATGGTTAAATCAGAGCACAACATAAGATCTGTGACAAAAAATTCTAAAAAGCACAAAGATACAATGGTCTTTCAGACACCAGAACAGTTACCTCAAAAGGCACAAAACTGGGCCAAACGCACCATTTGCAGTGAAAAATAACTTCTACTGTCATTGTGACTGCTTCAGGCAGGGGGTAGATCAGAAGCTGGCTCCCCATGAGCTCCGTCCAAAGCAGCAGAACAATCCTGTTTTGAATTCCAACTCCACACACCAGCCCTTGGGAGTAACAGGGTGCTGTGCAGCAGTGCCAGAGGCACCCCAGGGCCCAGGTGTACCCAGTGATGCGACTGCTCCAGTGTGTAGTGACTAGACAGCAATGCCAACCCAAGCATGGCCAGCCCAGAAGGTTTGTCACCATGGCACAGTCCTGCAGAGACATGGCTTTGGTCTCAAGATTAATCAAGGCACATTGTCACAACCTAGAGTGGATGGAGCAGTACTTCTTTCAGTTCTTGAAGTAACTCTCTCATTTTGGACATCTCAGCACAGTGCTCCATGGAACTGGGTCAGGAAACAGTAACACTTCCATGTCACTGCACAGCTGACATGGGCCTAGATTTTGTTTGTCTCCACGAAAAGTGAAAGGGAAAATGTCTACGGGAATAAAAAGGAAGATCCTCCTTTCCATTACGCTTTGCACACTTAAAAGAGCAATAGCCCTGATTTTGTGGTAACAGCACAAACAGGATGGCCTTCCATTTTGAAAACATCCTGCAGCACTGAATAAGAACAACATGAATCCCCAGCAGAAATTAAACACAAAGTTATTAAAATTGCTTTGAATGCATATGGAGTTTAAGAGGTAACAAGACCTTTTATGAAAGGTATTCAAATCGTCTAAAGGATTCATTTAGATAAGATATTCATTTTTTATTAATCATATGTGCCTCAAAGCCTTCACATTCGAAAACTCTTGAGGGTTCCAGCCAGTTTTACCTGTACAGGATGCAAATCTAGTATTGATAGACGTTGGCCATAACATTCTTACAATCAGGGTGAAATTCGTGCAACTCAGAAGGTCCAAATTGAACAAACACAAACTCAAACAGAAGCAGCCCACTGACAGGCTGTTCCCCATATTCCCCATATCTGGCAGGATAGATATCCCCCATTCTTTATAACTATTAATCAGCAAGATCACCCAGTATCAGCCCTCTTTTCTGCACCCCACCCCCCAAACCATTAAAGGGGATGGTTATGACAACTCAGGCATTAAACCATTCTGGTTATTCCATCCTGCCAGCTCTTCCAACTGTGCCACAGAGATCAATGAAAATGTGGCCTGCATAAGAGGATGATCCATAATAAGACTGTGATCTCTGATTTACATGGAAAATTCAAGATGCTGCTCTGCAGAAATAAAGGAATCAAAGACATGAATTCCATACCAGTGTCAGTTCCAAACATCACCAAACATTAAGGACATTAACTCACAGCTCCATCTGTAGCATTTCTCTTTATATTCACATTTTAAAATGATTAATATATGACGCTGTCAAGTATAGTTTAAATAAAAAAAAAAAAAAAAGGATTAGGAAACTTGTTCCTTAAAGGCACTATCATATCAATTTATCTACAAGTTTCATTTTCTTCACAATGATGCATACAACAGCTAAGAATAGCTGCGTTTAATTGACAGAAGAAAAATGGATCACTGTGCCTATTTTTCCAGTTACTTATTATCAAAGGTATGTCTGCACATCAGATAGACAACATTTCACTTTCCCTTTGTGGTCTGCTGGTGCTGGGGAACACAAAAACAAATATGAGACAATCATCATTAAAATTAGGATCCACAAAAACAGACAAGGGGATTAGTTACATCTAGACATAATTTATTAACTAGCTAGATTCCAAGGCAATGGCATGCATCTTCAGACATCGCGGGCTGTCTTGTAGGTTGCTCATCCACCATAAATAAAACCTGAAGCTGCAATCAATTGACCTGACATTTACCCTGCTCCACAGCATAAACACATGCCACCTCTCATGTCTGAATTTTAGGAGGCTTCAAACAACAAAGTGATAAGGGCTGATTAACAGTTGCTAAAAAGAGACAAGCCTGTGGGAGTGTGTAACTCATGAATGGGCCAGAAACTCTTTAGAGGAATGCTTCGGGTTTTTACCTAGGCTGAAGTCTGATATCATCACATAAGCTACCCAGAGACGCTGAAGTAAGTTTATCACGTGGGAGCCTTTACTTTCAAATGACATAAAAATCATCAACCCAGAGAAACCTTTTTAAAGTTGACTGGGCCAAGGACATTGCATTTCAATTCATTTCTCAGGCAAGGCAGTACAATTTTCCTACTTTTGCTGTAGGAAAACCAAGTTCTTAAAAGCAGGTGTTAAATTCTGTTGTTGCAGCAAGGTTCTTTGGATGTTTGACTTAGTATAACAGCCATCTGAAGGCAAACAATTCACTTGGACTCCCCTGTCCCATTTTGCAAGATGCATTAACCACCAAAGAATCCTAAGTCACTATTGCCTTGGGCAAGTCGTCAAATCTTCCCGTGTCCCAGTAGCTCCTTATGAAAGCCTAGAAATGAAATTACTTTGCAAGGACTCTGAGCGTTGTTGCATGTCCCCCCACCTGGCGCTGCTGAAGCACAGCTAGTCTGTCAGACAAACTCAGATGCGCAGATCTGTTTTTCATGGAGCAGAGTATTCCAGTGGTGTGCAGTGCGTGATTATTCGGATATATCACTTGATAAGAAATGGGGATAATCATCAGGTTATAGCCAGTTAAAAACACTCAGTTTCTGATCCAACTGACCGGGATGAACCACAAGAAAAATTTAGCAACAAGACAGTCAATCATGTAAAAATGCACTCTGTAAATCTGCTTCCTTAGACACGGATCCTAAACTGGGCCAGTAATCCTCATGTTCGTTCAGGCACAGTCAGTTGTTGCATCCAGGCAGGCTGTGCAGCTGACATCTTAACGTGCAGATCAGCAGTTTGTCCAGCAGGCAATGAGCCATCGCATTTCATGTATCAAGACGGGGCCACTGGCAGTCTTGGACTGCCCAACAATAGGATTCCATCCAGCTTGTCCAGATCATTTCATTGGCAAAAGTCCACAAGTCTGTTCCCAACAACAAATTCTTGCCCTAGTCTGATAGGAAGTCGTTTGATTCAATCAGTTGTTGGATTTCCCCCCCTCTCTGTCAGCATGAGGCCTTCTGAAGACTCTTCACTCAGTTGCAGTCTCAGCAGGTCATTTCTCTCTCATCAGAACCCGAAGTAAAATCTGCTCTAGCTCCATTTACCTCGTCCAGTTGTCCTCATTGCCAGTTCAAATCCGAACAAGCCTTTTGAAGTATCCTAGTCCTCTTTTCTCTTGTCAGGAAACCTTCGGGACAGTTTGTAATCTATATAAGCACTAAGGCAGGACCATAAAATGAATCGTATGAATATAATCACAATCAGCAAAATCATCAAAAGGACTGATTCCATATTTAAGCTAGAATAATGAGGTAATGTGAAAAAAAAATACTTGGGGAGATCTAATTATATAATGCAGTATTCAGTTCTGTGGCCGGCCCCGCAATTCCTGTAACATTCCAATCAAAGTGATCTCACTAGCATGTGAGAGAAGAGCCCAGCTGACAGATTTGGGACATGTAACGTACTATTTAGTCAAGAGGCCCCATGTGCTATTCATAAAGAATTAACAACTCTTATATTGACAATGACAGTATTGTCAGAAGACCTTTGGAAGGGGAAAAAAACTCCATAAACTCCGTCTCTGTGAAGTTGGACTTTTTTTTTGCCCCTTTTTTCCAATGCTGATGTAATCTCCAAACATCTCCAGCAGCAGCTGCTCAGCGAAACCAGGCACCTTCTCCCTAGTCCCTTTCAGCAGCACACGCAGCACTTTCCAGCTCCCTCAAGACAATCGGGGCCTTTCTTTCACCAATTAGCTATCACTTCAAGAGCCCTGCGCTGTCCAACGAGCTCTTAAGAATGGTCTTTGCAGGAAACAACACTGGAGGGGCTTTTTTTTCTCCTAGACAAATTAAAAGGGGAAGAAGGGAGGGAGGGAAGAAAAAAAAAAAAAAAAAAAGCACAACAAAACAAATCAGAACACAGAAGCTGTCCAAAATGCATCACTCAATTAGTGCATCGACAAACGCTGAAATGTCCTCAAAAGCCAATGCTAGAGCAAGGCACACACAAAAAATGCTCGTGCTTTCTTTAGGAGATAGTTTGTTTAGTTGAATATGTTAAACAGGTTTCATAGAAAGAAGGGCTCTTGTTACAGCAAGTCTCTGAGTTAGACGAACTAAAAGGGAAAGAAACTCCTGGAAGATTATGTCCTATTTCCTTATTTGGCTCTCCAAATGTAAAGCAGCATTATTTGAAGTAGACATTATAGGAAAGAACTTGGTTTAGCTCACTTTAAATATAGAGGATTGATGAAATGAGTGATTACTGGAACTACTAAGATCTTTTTGAACTTGCTCAACTAGCAAACTGCTTTGCCCAGAAACCATACTTTCCATCTAAAAGAACGTAAAGCCTAATTCTGAGACTTAAAGCTCTGTGAAATCTACATTTGTTTTCTTGTAAAATCAGGGAATAGGTACGGTAATACCTTGAGGTCTCCTTTGATGCCAAGTCCGCATTAGAACAAGCACAAACTCTAGGATGCAGCTCAGGAGGGGAACAAGGAACTTACACAGATGTTTAATACCTTGTCTGGGCCTGGATCTCAGCAACTGGAACTGGACAAGTGGAGTTGGGAAGGTAACAACATGAGGATTAACAGTAAGAGAAATGACCTGGAGGAGGTCCAAGCAATAGCACAGTGTCAGGACTGCTTCCCTGAATTTCAAAACTCTGCGTTAAACCAAACTGCATACAAAATATCAGTTGTCAATACTCTCTTACATTACCATTTTCTGGTCAAAATTGCCCTGATTGGGGTAGCCTCAGGAGATCCGACACATTGTCTTCTACAAGGACAACACAGATACATTTGCACTACAAGGAAAAAATTTAGTCTATTCCCTTTTATTAACTGTGTATCAGGAGCAAAGCTCCAGGCTTTGTAAATAGTTAAATGGCATGGCAAAGCAAATACTTTAAGGGGTTTCAGGAGTTTGTTCACACTAATGGGTACTCTTAACTACTATGGGGAGTTTTTAATGGACTTGGAAAGTGTCAGAACTGATCAGATTGCTTAAAAGGAAAAAGTCTGATGTATTACCCTACGTGCATTTATGAAGGAATGTGAATCAACTCAAATTCCCCTGTATAGGAAGGCTCAACCAAGGGATGAATACACAGTCGGGATTAAGAGGGATTCTTTGTGGAGGTGCACTGAACAATGAGTGTCTTTCTATACCTACAGACTTCAAAAGATGCAGAGTTTAAAGCGACTACTCGCTCCAACTAGTTAAGATTTTGCTGAAAGAATGCAGCATGGTGGAAAATACAAATGTATATACGTACATTTATATACACACATACATATAAGTTGGGTCACCTCCAGCTGTAGGAGGAAAAAAGGGAAGAAAGGGACCCACGAGTTCTATAAGCTTGTCCTAAAGCAAGATCAACTATGCCATTCCTGACAGGTGTTTCTCTAACCAGTTTGTTTGTTTTTAAGATACCCACATGCACAAAGATGATGAGAAATAAAACCTTTGTTTCATCTGAAAAGGGATTTAAGTGGGAAAAACAGTTTGAAAAACCAATCAGTGGCTCTATCTGGTACAATACAACCAATGTAAACCCACAGCCAGTGGCTCTGCATTACATGCTCCCTTGGGCAACTGGCTCACTTTATAGCCATAAGTAATTTATTGGTGGAGATGATGATACCTGCCTTAATTCAGAAAGTACAGTTCTTCTGTATCCTCTGGATGGATGCCTTTGCTCTTCCTAAAAGCGCTTCTTCCGTGACAATCATCACCTTTACCCTAATGCCATCCTGCTTTCTGGACTCTAACAGGTTTGTTGAAAACCACCAGCAGATTTTAGTGAGCTCAGTATTAGCTAGCATGACTGCTGTGACATACAGCACATCATATTCCCTGACCATCAGCAGCTCCAGTTCAATCTGCTAGTGGCGAGAAGCCCAGTGGTTATTTAAGGGCACGCGAAGAACAAATTGGTGGTTCATTCCAAGCGAACAGGTGCCTCCACCCCGGGCTCACAAGTGGTTCTCAGCTATGCCATCTCCGGCATTCCCTGAGAGGTGTCAAAGCCGGAAAGGAAACTACACAACCCTGGCGCCTGGCACGGGGCTCTCCTCGGGACAGGCTGACACAGAGCTGGGTAAGCTTCCCCTGCTGCTGCTGCAGGTCTTTGGCTCCACATGCCACGGCTGTCAGCTTGGCACTCTCTGCAGGTACTGCATTTATTCACACAAAGTAACCATCAGTTGCTGAAGACGGAAGGAAAGTATTTTTCTGCTTATATTTCACTCCTTAGGACAGATTTCCTTGCACAGAAAATTAATGTACAGCATAAGCAGGACAATTCTGCATGCCAAAGGAAAACACTCTGTGACTGTAGAAAATGAAGTTTAATATGAATCACTGTTCTCCTCTCCTTTGCAAAGTATTCTGAGTCTCACTGGGGAAAAGCACTATGTAAAACCTATATATAAATCATTATTGCTTGAATTTTTCCAAATATATATTTTCAGATAACGTAAGTTCCCAATGCCTGGCATTGTTTTGACTGATTTGCCTTTTCAAAGAACGTATGCTGTATCACATGTAAAAGCATCCTCTCTGCTCACAGTTTATTTTGCTAAAATCGTTTTTCAACTAATCGCCTCTCTAGAAAATAACGGCATGATAGAAGAGTATTCCTGATGGGTGGTATTTTCTCACTAACATATGTTTTCATCACATAATCAACGTTATTACCTTCTCCTCCTATAAATATTTATGAAAATTCTCTAATTTGAAACTATTTCCAAGACAAATTCTGCATTTTGCTATTAAATTATTATCATGTAATTAATTGCCCTGGTGCTCTGAAGGGTAGTTTAGCCAAAAAAAAGTAAAAGTCTGCAGTCTTTTAAAATGTAATCCAACAGATTTCTTATCCGATTTTCCACTTCCAATTATAAAGCAGTCTATCTCCTAAAATACCATTACATTCCTAAAATGTTAAAATATCCAGTAAAATTACAAGCAATAAATTAGCACAACAATAATCATATAAACATCCACTGTTAGCAATTTGAAATATATCTCAAAATATAAAGAAATTAAAAGGATATTTCACTTACTGTATTTACCACATATTCAAAAGTCAGTATATCTATAAAGAAAAATGGCATAGAGTTGCAGGTGTCAGCATGGCTAACAAGAAATTCCCAGTTCATTGCTAAAAAGAAAAAAACAACGAACACAGAAAAAAAGAAAAAAAAAAAGAAATTCAGAACCAGCACTTATCTCTTGGTCATGCGCCTGCTACAGTTATCAGAGTGAAAAAGGCACCTTGCTCCAGTTTGCACACATGAAATCTCCTGAACAAGCATTTTACATCACATGGAAAATAAAACACCACTTAAAAAGAGCCAGATCAAGGTATTCATAGCTTTAGAGGACAAAACCTAACATTCAAAGTCAATTCCTACTTCAAATAACTTGTGATAATAAGCACATTTCAAGACCATTCAATGTTGCATTGAGTCAAAGAAAAGCCCAGACACCTGCCCCACTGGTTTTCTACTGGAAAGTCCCCAGCAAACATACTCCTCCCACCACAGTCAGTTCGATATGCCCCTTTCCATGATCAAGGACAGAAATAAGATACTTCATTTACTACCTATATCTTCTGTCAAGAACTTTAGTGTTTGTAAAACTCAAACTCAACCACATCCTCAAGACCTTACAGCTACAAGTGGGAAAAAAAAAAAAAAAAAAAGAAAAACCACAGTGTAGGAAAAATAATGAAAACAAAGGAAAATGATTGGAAATGATTAGGAGGAAATGAAACTAAACTCACAAATCTGACTTAAAAGTGATTACCTAGAGAGACATGTGTTTTAAAAAAGATTCAATGAGACCTTCGCAGTTCAGGAGCTGTGAGTGCATCATCTCCTCCACATGCTGCTGCACACTGCAACACTCAGTAGCAGACAAATTATTGCCCTTCAGCTTACAGACTTTTCTTTCCAGAAGCACGATCAGAACAGAAGTAGCCAAGTAGATCGTGTACATGCCACGGTATTTAATCACATCACTGAATTAAAATGTTAGTAACATCCAAGACAACTATCGCACAACAAACAAGAATAAAAATGCAAAAAAATATATATTTATAGCCACTCACAGGAAAAAAAAAAGCCTTGCGTGTATTATGAACATGAAAATAATTTGTTATCAGCAATTATCACACCCATTTTCTTCTTCAGTTGCCAGAGGCCCTACACAGCTTGCTAAGTCTTCACACTGAGTTGTGTAACTTTATTTCTTGGAAAGACCCTCTGGACTTCTGCTGGTGAAATTAAGGAATTATCACTGAATTAAATTGTACAAAATGGATTTAGTCCTAAAGCATCCTTTCTCAGAGCTTTTCTTCCATTGGTGGATTTTTTTTCCCACTGAATTCATGGTATTACATGCCAATCTAGTAGAGAATTTTATTTTTAATTTATTATTTTGTATTATTTTTGACTAACCAGTGTTTCATTTCAAATGCTGGTTTTTCAAAAGCAGAAAATCTGGCGAAACAGACTCCAGGTCTGATGATATATTTGTCAGAAGCTGTTTTTTAGATCCGTAAAATTTAAGACCAGAACAAGAAGATCAAGCTCTTCTAAGTATTAGACAGTCAAAACACTCATACATAAAACCACAGGCTGAGTCTCCTGACGAGTGCCATGGCCACCTATCTTCAAGCTATTCCCAAGTTTCTCATGACTTACAAACCTCACTTTCTTCTCACTGTGCACAAAACCATACTGGGACCTTAAGAAACTTCACAGGATGGGAAAGACAGTTCCCTTTCATCTGTAACTACATGTCTTCAGCAGATTAAGCCATGTTTCCTCTAGTTTCACAGTGAGGATGCTTCTCCCATGCTCTACCAAGAAGAGATCAGATCAAAATCTGTCTCTGATTTACAATTAAATTTGGGTTTCTCAGTCATCATTTGTTTTGAAAGCTTAAATCAACATTGACAGAAGTGAACAACGATGTAACTGTGATTTCCATATGAGGTCTAGCATGTGACAAACTTAACTAAATAGATAAGTAAAGTTTCTAAAATTTACCACAAACAGAATGCGCTTTGACAAACTACAGATCATGGAAAGAACTGCGCTACTCATAAAAAGCAAATACTGAAAATAATTGCTATCCTTTACAAGTGATAGAAGGCAAACATTTCAAGTGCTGGGCTGACACAGCTCCTAACCTTAGTCTTTTACTTAAAAACAAGTACATTACGTGAAAGGTATAGTTGAAATATTTCTTACAAAGCTTTATTTGGAAAATAATGGAGTCATGGAAACTTTGAAGACACAATCAAAAATATGACTTCATTCAACAAGGTCCTTATTAAACACACGCTTAACTTCAATAAAAATTTTCTATGTTTATTTAAAGCCCCGTGTGCAATAGTGAATTATCAGACCTACCATTGTCACACTAAATCAAAAAATGGCATGAGATTGCATGGCTCAGGCTTTATGCGTTAGCTTTTTCTCCCTAATCGTTTGCTTTCTTAAATTGCATTTTGATAGCTACAAAACACTAAACTCACAATAAACACACAGTGATCTGACCGTGATTTTGGAATTTTCTATATTCTAGTCTGAACTTTGCATCTGATGCTTTGTGGTCTGACAGAAGTTGGGCATTCAGCAAACTGCATTGTGTTTTGAACAAATCTTTCAGTCTACTAACAGGTTATCCTGCTTATTTTTAAAGTCTCTTTGCACACAAAAAGAAGGGGAGCTAGGGCAAAGGAGGAAAGAAAAGAGTCCATTTGAAAAAATTACACTGCTAGATTACAAGAGTTGAAAGCTGGTATGTAACTTTGCTCCGGGTGATCAAACTGCTAATCAGGAATGCTGTCGGGAACAGAATGGAATTCCAAATAAATTAGCCATGTCCAAGAAGCCAATACAACACAGGATTAAGGCTCACAAAGAAAACAAATTTATTCAGCCTACTTTATCAGAATTCTTAATAACGTGTACTAGTTTTTCTCATCGCAGTCTGAGCTCTTCCACTGGAACAGTGTGGAGAAGGAAAAATGAGTCACACTTCATAAATCATCTCCTACTTTTACAAAAAAACTAAAAATGTTGTATAGAGCAAGACACACAATGCCATTATATCGGAATTCATATGCACACCACAGTTACAGTAGAAATGCGTGATTTTATTTCTTCAAATTTATTGCTAAGGCATCTGACCAAAGAAGATGCACTACGCGATGCAGTGAAAATGTACAAAGCTGAAGGAAAAGGTTAGACCTACACTGATATACTACAACACTAAAATTAATTTTGGTGTGGAGATAAATCACTGAATTCAATAACCAAATACTAAAATAAATCCCTCTGCTGTACAACCACGCCATGCCTCACATTTATCATTAAGACTAAAGAAAAATTCTGAAGCCCACATATTGCAGCAAGGAATACTGGGGCTGAGGCACTGTCTGCAACTCAAATGCATATTCTATTTTTGCCTCTTACTACATCCCACAGAAACTTTTCAGAACAGCTTACTCCAAAATCACAGAACATTAAAAGGCGTCCAAAAGTTTTCGCATTTTCTTGAATTAGGATTTTAATCTTTATCAGGCTGTTTTTCCCCATCTATGAAATAGGGATGATTACAGTCGACTGAAGACAGAACTAGTCTTTTTGAAGATTTTTTGTTACAAAAAATTAAAAGAAGATAAGGTACTCACAATATGAATCCAAGCATCTATAGCAAAACTGTCCTGTGAGGAAAGTGTTATTTAGCATACTTATCCACTGAAAAATAAGAAAGTGGATACAGTACTGTTAGCATCTACATAAGTCTGCCACGTTACCTTGAGAATCCCTGTGCGAGCATGCATGGATTTCTCATAATAAAATTCATCAAGCAATCCACAAGTTGATGGCAGGTGCTAAGGATTCACGTTTCTGGTGGCTCCTACACATGGCACTGCCCTGCTTTCCAGCTCACCAAACTGCATCAGCAACAAAATGCACCTGGTCAGTGTGTGAGCTACTTTCTAAAGATGTTTTCTCCCAGATAAGGGGGTCTCCCCATTAAGACACCATTTGTGCCCTCCTCCCCTTCCAAAGACGAAACAAATAAAATGTCATTTACTGCTGTTATTCTATCCAGCCTCCAAGAGCAAAAGCAAGCATTTCTACCAACCGCAATTTAAGATTTTCTGTTGTGTTTTCTTTTTTTTTTGGTCTAAGATATTTACTCAAATATGGAAAGAAAAGCATATATCCCTAAATCATCATCTCTAGAAATGCATCTCCAGAGGGTGAGGGTTAGATTATGCAAGCTACTGATGCATCGTTGAGACACATGACTGCAAGGGATCCGTTTACACCCCAATGCCTCCATTAGAGGCACATAAATAACCACTTGATTTGAGTGAAATATTTTAGGGGAAATGCAAACTATTTTCTCAGAAAAATAAACCAAAAGAGAATCGAGTACAACCATAATTTTTCATGAGGCCCAAGGAAAAACGTAGATTTTAATTTTCAGAGGGGTTTCTTTGAATAAGAAACAGATTATTATTAACCACTGTTTTGATTCAAGGACCAACAGAAAAGATGTTTTCCCAGCTTAAACAATTTCACAGTTTCAGTACAAATTCACAAATAGCTGCAGCAAGTTTGACAGCACAAACTTGTGGCAAATGAACTATTGATCTGAAAAAGAAGAGTTACCCAGTTCTACCTTGGTCTGGCAAACAGCGCGGCACATATTCTGTACTAGCAGACTATTCATGTGCTCTAGCGAAGCACACGTGCGAGTGCTTACAGAATTGAGGTGGATTTCTAATTTTCCAGAATACAGACATTGGATTTGTGAGCGAAGAAAGGAGGATGATAGCTGGCAATGAGCAGCGCTGCTCCACTTACCCTCTCAAGGCTGGTTGTGAGCCAATGAGACGTATTCTGAGTTAGCACATTAAATATTTGGCTTTATAAAATAACGTCATAAATTATACTTTGATCAGCAAGTGCACTCCTCTTGTACCCTCAAAACACTCTGCTTAAATTACATTTGAGATATTTTTCTTTTAAAAACACACAGAATAAAGCAAGTAGGTGAAAGGTAACTGTATCACTTTACAGACACAAGCTACCCTCTGATTACAACTAATTAAGATATTCAGCAGCCTTAAAACAATACCTTTTTTTAATCAATGAACCCAGACAGCATTCACAGCTTTTTGCGATGACAAATGCCCTTTGAAAGAGTTAATAGGCAAAGGTTTGTACTGGCAATGAATAGGGCTACCTTTAATTGATCCAAGAGCCTTAGAGAGCCGTCTTATAGCATGATGATGTATTTGGGTTGCAAATAGGCCAAAATAAGCATAAAGAAAATCTGTAAGACCATGAGACCTTTCATTTTTCATTGCGGGGAGGCAAGGGGGGGAGCCGCTGGGGAAAATGAGAGAACTATGATGGGGTTATCTTTGTGCTTCAGCACTTAAAATAGATAAAATGAGAGAAATTTTGAGGAAAAGGACAGGAAGTGATCAGGCCATAATTCTGAGAATAAATGTCAGGATGCATGAAAACATACAAAACAAGGATTCTTCAGAAAATAAATAAAGAAAGAAAGAAGAGATGACCTAATGGTATAAAGAAACATTGATTAAAGAAATACCCTGAGGGAGAAAGATATTCCATCAGCTTTAACACACACTGCATGGTCCTGCATTCCCTCTAAACTTCCTAAGTGAGGGAAAAAAAATGTCTGGAGAAGAGGCAGTCACATGGATCCATTTATAATTTCCCCCCTCGTTCTTTGTTCATCTTTTACATGTTTTTGTTCAAGATGTACAGGAAATTTGCACACAAGTGGCGGCTCACAAAATTAAACAAGATGGGTTAATAGCGAACATTCTCCCCTGACTAGCCAAAGAAGAAACAAAAATGCATTTTTATAAGCAATATAAAGTCCATTTAGATTTCTTTTTTTCTTTATGGGACCGATTATACATTAATATTACCTAATAATTACAAAGAGACTAGTCTGCCCATATTTAAACTAGCCTTTCATTGTAAACCCAATTTTGGCAGAATCCCTTCCTCATTTAGCAAAAGCTAACCCGATTTCCTTGAACTTTCACAGGTGCAAACTTTATGCCAAAGTAGAATTTTTCTGGAAAGTCTGAGACAAATCAGACGAGGAAATTCCTAGACTAAAAGACTATTTTAAAATGGAATTACAGCGTAAGCATATTATCAGCAGCTCGGGAAAAAAAATTCTAATAGAATGTTGCTGGTGTCTGAAATTTGCTTAAGGCAGATGCAGAAGGAGCTAGAGAAATGTTGACATTGCTCCTTAATAACAGAGCAATAGAACATCCTGCTCCTATATATGGATTCAGATACACATGTACATTAGAAAAAGCAAGGCAAGTCCTTTTCCAATTTGGAACAGGGAACGGATCAGCTGTTCTCAAACTCTGCTCACCCTACCGCCACAAACAAGTACTCTTCTAGCAGTAACCATTAACAGAAAAAAAATACTAAGCCTGCACTGCAGCTCTGGGTCAACACAAAGGCTGTGCTTGCCTCTTGAAGCAGGGAGCTGAGATTGGATGCTTGGTTTTGAGAAAGTCTTCTTGTTCTATTTGCTTTCATTTCAGACTCTTTGAAGTGACAGAAGGACCTTCCTTCCTTTGTAATTCAGAAGACAAAATATTTCCTTCTCCTGTATCAGTGTTATGGATAAATCCTGAGCTACCATGATTTTACTCAAAGAAAAATATGATGTACAACATATTGATTTTTAAAGGACATTGAAGGACATCAAGTGCTTGAGAAACACTTCAAAATAAACTGCTTTTCATGCCGTGGAACTGGACAAGTTTTCTTCCAAGTATGGTGAAGCTGAACTGCTTCAGTAAATAGAAGATATTCACATCAAAAAATAACTGCGTCCAGCCTACTGCAGACTATTTGACAAAAATAAGAAGGTGTGCTGGGGCTAAACTTGCTATTACACTTTTAGCTGGTAGGTGTCAGGGTAAACAACTCGTATTTCCTCCAAACGGTGCAGTTATTAAAACTGTAAGCGAAGAAACTCCATTAAGGCTCACAGGACAGATGAGACTTTCAAGTACAGATGAAGCAGGGGTGGCTGACTGCACAGGAGGTCTCACGTCATCACTTGTGCCAAGAGCCATGTGAGCCAAACCACGAAACTCAGCCAGGGCACCGGTCTCACAGGAGTCTCCAGGACCTTGGAGACAGCTGGGGTCACCAAAGGATGAGAGGTAAAACCCTGGGATGTGAAGAAAGGAACAAAGAAGAGCAAGATGAGAAAAATTAGAGGAAGGGAAAGGGTTATCTAAGATGCTTGCCTGGGGCTTGTCAAGATGTTATTGTATCTTCTTTATCTGATATCCCACCAACTGACTCTGACCATAGGAGCACTTTCAACAGTAAAGCTTCCCACAACAAAAGGTTTGACCAGCCTATTTTCTTGTAGACTTTTTTTCCCCTTGCAGACAGCCTACAGAAAAAAAGTATTCAAATCCTGTTTACGGATGTTCAATTTCGCTGAAGAACACACAGAGACCGACAAACGTTTCTGTAGCAAATTCCAGAAAGATCTGAGCTATTTCCCTAAAATAAGCCTAAAATGTGTTTATAGGTCTGGTTACACAGCAGCAAAACATCCCATCTGGAGATGTATATGGGAGCAGTTTAAAGAGTGCGCATCAACAGAACACAACCACAAGGGCCAGAAAGTGCACACAACTGGAGGCTGCCACGGATCGGCAGGAGACAGACGTGAGTGAGGCTGTCAGCCTTAAACTTGGAGCTCGGTGATTCAGCAGTGCCCCACGTTACCTGCGTATTGCTGGACATAGCTGCTTAATACCATCTCATTGCAGTGCTCCTCTGCACGTCAGAGTGACTGTCATTGCCATCAAGTTTACCCTGTGCATCTATTTACAAGCTCAAACTGATCATCAACACACACACATACACTAAAATCCTATACAGATGAGTTTTTCTTTGATCAAGCAAATCTACCTTCCACTATACTGATGAGTAGAGAGTCTGAGTGGAAGTGAACCCAGATTTTCCAAGCAGCATCTATTTTACAGCTGCCTCATAAAATTAATAGCAACAACATATTTTTAAAGCCAGTTCATGTTTTACTCTTACAGGAATATTTCTACATTTGGCTAATCTTCACCCCTGTGCATGCACACGCACACACCTGGAAGGGCTGAAAATAAAGACTTTAAGGTGTGGGAAGTTTAAGCAGAAAGAGAAATGGATTTTCCAGTGCTGGAAATGGATTCAGCATCAGAGACAAGATTAAAAAACAGCAGGTTTTGGTTGTCAGACCAGTGTTCAGGCAAAGTTTCCCAGGTTCCTTACAAACACGTATAAAACCTCACTGTGCTGGATAATTTGTTTTTAAAAGTAATCTCCAGCAAGCTCTACTTGAAAGCTAGATGAACTTCTTTGCAAAAGTCGCTGTTTAACCGAGCAATAATTACTTGTCTAAAATCCCAGGCCCAGGCACAACACAGGAAAGCAAAACCCACAAGGCTTTGCAAAGGAGGCAGGAGGAGTTTTCGTGCTGTGGCAGGAGCTGCAACAGGCACAGATAAAGTTGTGCTTTCAGCTCCACAAGTGTAAATCCTGAGCAACTCCAGATTGAAACAAACCTCATCTGAAAAGCTTCGTGGACTCTCCTCGGCTCAAGCAGGATCCTAAGAAAGCAAACTTTGATCCTTTCTCTGAAAATCTGCTTCACAATTCAACATCTTTGACGTAAATCTTTTAAAAGACTGAGATGGCACCAAGTCAGGAACAGGATGGAGGGAAATGTGTTTCCGTCCGTGGGGGAACCATTAGGAGGAAGGTTAATAGCCCTGGGCATGCGATCAAATTGAAGCTTGTGCCAGTTTCCCCAGGGCTTCCCTTGCCATCCTCAGCTTCCCTAGGCTAGGCAGCTCACCCTCGCCTTCCTACCAAAGGCAGCTATTAAACAGAAGCATGACAGACTGCTGGGGAGAAACAGAAAGATAATCACATAATTAACTTATATGGATACAACACCAAGTAGGCAGACGGAGGGAGTTTTTGAGTATCTCTGCAATTGGAGAGAGATAAACTTGGTGTCCGTGCAGCTTAAAAATGGGGAGGGAGCAGGAATTTGGACCTTCCCAACATGTGGACCGCAGCAGTGAGGCAGCCCCGAGTCTAAACAAGGCTGGAGTTAGCATTCAGAGCACACGGTGCAGCAGAGTATGGGAAAGGGATAGAGCAGCCCAAAGAGCTGGCGCCACTAACTGACGAGCAGAGCGCAAGTGATAAAGATTTACTGCGAGAGAGGAGGAAACAGTCCGCTGGCCCGATTAGAGCTGTGAATACCGAGTTGTTCAGGGAGGATTTTGCAGCTGACTGATCACAGGCTGTCGGAGCAGGCCTCGGACAACAGCTGCAAGGCTTGCTGGGCTGCAGAAACAAAGGGCGCCTAGCACGGTGCAAAGAAAGAGTTGACAGGTTGTTGTTAGCAGTGGCAAATGTGTGAGGTATGTCACTGTGTGTGAGACGGGGTGGGGTGGGTCGGTGGGGAAGAAGGAGGGCAAGAAGCACAGGCAGCACTCGGAAAAGGGGGGGCGCGGGGGAGGGAGCAGGGACACAGGCTTGGTCAAAGCATTTTCCTAAAATCAGGCCGGTGTTTGTAAGGAGGACAATCACAAGGTCTGTTTACTGCTGCCAAGATGAATTAGCCCATCGTCTCATTTATAGGACGAATCCGGTGGCGCAGACTATAAGGTGCATGGCATTAAAGGGACTAATTAGACAATTCCGGCAAATCTGAATTAAGACCCTTTCTTTCTTTGAAAGCTGGAAAGCATTTCTCAGGACCCTGGTCAGATGGCTTAGGTTTTGTCGGGCTTTTCCTTTCTGTTCTGAGAAGGGATATCTTGTGCAATTCCCTAACCCACAAGGGTCCGCTCTAAATTCTGCTCTGAGCTTCAGGAACAGTTGTTAGGAAGCTTCTGGCATTTACATCATATTTAAAAAGGTCCAAACCAAAATCCTGGATTCTGCAGGAATCCAGCTCCCAGTCCAGGGACAAACTTTGCAGCTGGTCCCTCCTGTTACAGCGGGCTGAACCAGAAGCCCGCATGCGAACATACCTGAGCTAAGAGCCTACAGCTGAATCCTCGCTCACAGCACAAAACAATCTAGGTTTCTCAAAAGCTGGCTTCGAAGCTGACACCCACCTCCCCTCTCCACATGCAGCATCTGCAGCCAAATGCTTTTCCCAAGCAACTTGGAGCTTTCTGGAGCCATGCTTCACTAAGCTCCTGAGTGCTGGGTAGGAATGTATCAATGAAACTCCAGAGATGATCAAAGACAGAGGCTGCAGAAGAGGAGAACTTACTTGCGGCTCCCCATTTGGCAAGTTTAGGATTCACTTGTTGAGATCTGGCAGCATTTTACTCTGATTGTGACAAAAACAAAATGTTACAAACTCCTCCGAAGCAATGGTGCATGCTGTTTGCACACAAGCACTATATTACAGTGGTCACTATTAAAATGTTTTACAAGCAGTTAACGTTACCATGGTACTCACAGTATACTAAGAGAAGGGAATACCACGAAAGTCACAGAAACACCGAGCACTGCAAGCTGCAAATATCAGATGTTTCGTAGTAATTAGTGGCACTTTATAAAATATGGACTTCTTGCTTTTTTACGTACGTATCTATTACTAACCAACAAATAAGAGACACTAAGAAACTGCAGAGCCCTTTATAGTATCCGATCAATTATACAAACAAACCCTATTTTGATTTTTCTCTTCTAAATGGTCTCTGGGACCCAGTTACTCTGGTCCCAGTGGGCAGCACTTGATACACTGTAAAGGGAATTCAGAACAAGAGGCATTTCAAGGCTCCTAACACACAGCTCCATTCTCCCAAAATATCCAAAATACCAGTGTGCAGAATACTCCATCTAGGGGCAGAAATGTAACCCAAAATTTCTCGAGCCTCTGCTTTGACATGTGTTAACCTCATTCTACCAGGACTGAGTGCATGAGAAATAATCAGACATTTCACAGAGGTTCCAAATAGTTCTTCCTCAGTACGAGTCCATACATTTTTCCTTTTTATTATTTTAAACACAGGGCTTCCAGCTTGAGTTTCCGCTTAACAGTGATGAAGAACCCAGGCACTACTTTTATATGTCTACGAGCAACTGGATTATACTTTAAACTACAAATATTATCTTAGGAAAAATTTATAATCCATTGTATCCATATGCTCAACATTTTTAGCTGAATAAGGAAGGTCAATGAGCTCAACTGCAAAGAATAATGAAACGCCTGAAGGACTATTTAGGTAACTGTATTTTGGGACATAATTAGGCTTCTACTGAAGTCAAAGCAAGGTCTGAATTTGATTTCAGGGGGAGCAGAAAGCTTTGTGGCACAGGCGTGCTTTTAATAAGAAGTTTTCTCTGTAGCTGGATAATTCAATGTAATTCATTTTTAATATTAGTACATAGGACTTGCTCAGCAAACGCATTTGAGTAATGTATACAATAGCAGACAGAAGCAACAAATTTCCAGGCTCAGAAAAAAAAAAAAAGAAAAAGATATTATAATGCCTATTAGCAGTCGTCGGGTCTTTTTCCCTCTTTAGGGAAAAAATTACAGCAAGTACATCAAGCCCTTCCCTCTAATTATATGTTTTCTTTATATGAATTGCTTTCAGCTGACAAGTCTGCACTAATTTTCCTTAGTAAGCAATGGGTTACAGCTTGTCCATAATGTTGCAGCTTTCCACTGCACTGTGTCTTGCTCTTTGTCTCTCCATACAGAGTGTCTGCTTGTGAGGCTGGGGCAACACTTGTGAAATTAATCAAATTACTTCCTACGTTCACTCTCCTAAACACCTACGTTTGATCACCTTTATGCTTCCTGTTCGGGCTCTCAGCTGCAAGCTTCGTACTTCATAAATGCAAAGGTTAGAATTTTCTAGACACCACTTTAATTTTTCAAATAGCAATCCAATTACTGAGCAAATTGGCACATGTGCTTAGTTACATAGTGACTTGGCACTGCCTCTCTCTGTGCTGGCAGTGATGAATGTGTTCCCCCTCAGCCCTCCTCGTCTATCTGCTCCAGCCTCGGAGCCAACACCAGTGACCACATAAGGAGAGTGCCTGGCAGCTGCAAGCCCGAGGTGCCAAGAGGCAGATTGTGCTCTGTAGCAGCAGGATCTGGGGCTGTGACTGGCTTCCTGGCTAGTCTTTTGTAAGACCTTTTCCATGGCCTCTAGGTTGGCTCTAATGAAGCCTGTAGAAATGCCTGCAGGGAGCTGGTATAGAAGTGAGTTAAGTCAAAGGTTTAATTTAGTTTCTAAAGTGAAGTGAATGTATATTGCCCTTCTTTTTCCACCCTGCAATTATACTCCTGCCACATTTATGAGAAAATACAGTATTCAATCAACAATAGGAGCGCATTCCTGGGTATGTCTGCACTGCACATTGGGGCAAAGATCCCCAAGCCAGCGTCAATTAACTGAGCTGCAGAACCAGAAGCAATATAGCTGTGTTTGCTCTGTGTGACACCCGAGCTAATTAACTATGTATGGCAGTAACAGAGCTTTACTGTTTCTGGCACTGAAGCGAGTATCCGTGTGGGGTAGTCTACTACAGACGTGCCAGCTCACTCGGAGGTAACCTGGAGGCTCCCTAATCTGGTACTGCTTTGCACTGCAGAGATACGTTCAGCAATACCTCAGGAACTGGCAGAAGTCTGTGGACCTCTTTACATCATGCGAGAATGGCAAGGCTACAGATGTGGTTACAGTAAGCCTGGATTGTTCCTCTTCCATCCCATTCACATTCTTTTATTACTCACAACATGATGGTTACAGAGCTTCTTTAAGTAATGTGTTAAGCATCTTGAACAGCATCTGTAACATGTGGTGCTTTCTAGATTTCTCTTTTCCTCCTCCAGGGGCAAAAAGCTAGACAACGATATTTTAAAGTATTTCTCAAACTTGCATTTGGGTCTTAGCCCTTAAATGAACTTCTCTGGACTGTTTAGAAAGCCATTTTCAATTATTTCAATGCAGCAGATAAGAAACTTTCTCACAACAGTATATTTTTCTCCCATTTAGATTTGTTTTTTAAGAAGTCCAAGAAATTAACTTTCTTAAAATAAATGACTACAAGTACCAAAGACCAGAGATGTCTGCAATACAAACAGGCTTTGGTGAAGGTAAAAAATAAAAATAAAACCCAGCAACCTGCCAGCTATTTCTCTTTTGGAACCTCACCTCAGGCATACCAAGAAACTACTGGAGAGAACGAGTTACTTGTCCAGCAACTTTCTGGTGCAGATGGGAGACCGGAAAATATCTGAGTGGACTCTGAACCGTGCACACCAGAATAGTTTGCTGGGGTTAGCTTGCTTGGACTTTACTTATGAATACAGTTGTTTGTTTGATGGAATTTTTCTTTTTGCTTTTTACTTTTATTTTTTCAACTAAGGGTTTTTTTTTTTTTTTTTTTTTAAGAAGTACCCAATGAGATCTATGAACTGTGACTACTACGTTATATTCAATTAATTTCTCCTTGTTCATCATTTAAGAGCTTTAGCATGCGAGCTGTCTTTGCCGACATTTTTCTCGCTTGAAGTCTGTTGGTAGGCAGGAAGCCTGAGCTCCTCTCATCTTTCTAGATTAACAAAGCTAAATTGTAATTCCAGAAACTGCCATAAGGATTTGAGAGCTTTCTTTGCAAATCTAATAACCCCAGCTCTCAATGACGTTTCACAAGGCAGCAAATGCAATGATAGATTTTACCACCTGTAACACAGACTATCCGTCAGTACAAGCACGCACAACTGCAGTGCAGCAATATGGACTGTGTGCGTGATACCCGAGTGTGCCACTATGCTTTCTGCCTCTGCCACGTGGGTTACCTGAGGAGTCTTTTTCAACAAAATGCTCAATTCTACACAGACTGTACAGCTAATATATTTAAGATGCGTTAATTTACGACAATGGGGGCCTCAATGGACAATCTCACTATAACTTAGTGTGTAAGGATGGGGTCAGTCCATCAGAGCTTAACGAACAGCCCTGGTGACTGCAGAGGCTTACAGTCTCCTTCAGAAAAGGGAACAGCACATTTTGATTAGCAGATTTCATACTATGTTCTAGAGATGCTTGAGAGTCTCTAGACTGATTCTAAGGCACTTGAGAAGGTAAAGTACATGCAGTATTGGTAGGATTCATGACATTATTCAGGGGTCTGTACCTCTGTATTTCAGCTATGTCCACATGAAGGGTAAAATTCTAAGAGCTGTAGATGATGTGGCCCTACTGTCTTCCTCAAAACCTTCTACAGGAGCAGGAAACAGAGGTGGAAACTGGACTCCTGGCTACAGGCCTGCGGGGCACAAGGAAGAGTTAGTTACCCAGAAGGGCACACAAACATGTGCTTAATACTAGGCATGTGAATGCCCCAAATGCATAAAGGCTCACATGCCAAAGTTAGTAACACTGCTGTAGCCAAGCCGTGCTGAGAGTTAAGCATGCACTTAAGAGCTTTGCTGGACGGCAGCCATTTACAGATGTACAATCAGTGCAGAGACATGTAGGCAGAGACTTCCTTTAATGGGTCCACTGAATTCTCTTCTTGAAGATACATATTTGGTTATTTTGCTTAACGTATTTATAAACCCAAATACTCTTCTTCTGATTACATCTCAGACACTAGGACATGTATCATTTTGCCTGGAGTCCTTTGTTTACCACACTTCTTAAAACTCAGGGCCAGATAAACAATTCCAAATCAAATGCAAAAAGCAGCTGGACTCTGACAACAACACAGACCTCTCCTAATGCCTGTTCTCCTCTTCCTTCGTCCTTCATTTATTAGCTTTGGAGATGCTGATAGATGCTTGTCTGCATGTAATGATAATTACTAACAGCAGCTTGATGAATAAGAGGGAGTGGAAGGAAAACAATGGGAAAGGCATTAAGGGCACTGAGTTGCTCTTTCTGGGGTGGGCATCAGACATATGCTCACTACTCTGGTCACAGTGCAATCAAAGCAGTCCTATGCCACTGCCAAAATAACTGCAACAGGTGCCAAAAGATTACAGCATTGGTTAAATCCACTCCTAAGGCACCAGCTCAGGGGCTGATTCAAGCCCCAGAAGCCAATGAACATCCTTCCCCAGATGTCAATTGTTTCCAAACAGTTTCTCTTACTCATTTCCAGTGCAATGTGGGAGGGGAGGGGGGAGGCAAACAAATTCGACTGCCAGGAGGGGATCCTCCGATTTCACCACTGCGACTATGGACAGATGCCAACGTCGCGCAGCCGCCCAAACACACTCGCAAGGTAACTGATATTTTATATGCACAACAATAAGTTATCTTCATTCACAAGGAACTGTTAAGACAGAGTTTCAGGTTCTGTTCTCCCCAGCACGTTACAAGGACAACTCCACGCCAGGAGCAGCCACACGGCCTAAAGGTGCCAAGCTGGCAAGGATCCTCCCTCTCAGCATTCAGCATCTAACCCCTTGGCAAACCCCTCAGCAGTTGTGCTTGGCTGCTCTCGGATCCGTCATGTGGTTGGGCTGCTGATAGCATAGGAGGGTGCTGCGTCCTCTGGGCACCATTTCACTTTAACACCTGTCTGATTCAGAGGAATGCGCACACATGGGAAGCAAGATCCCCGCACAAATCCTCCCAGAGACCCGGAGCACATGCTCCATTTGTTCCTGAAAGGGGTCGTTTCCTCAGACCCACAAGTGCTCCCCCCCCTTCCCTTCATATATCTGTATACAACCCTTAGAGGGTCCTACATCCTGCCATGCATTCCACATGTGTTGGACGTTTGCTCTGTGAACCACGCATACAAAACATAGCCTTTTTGTATATAATGAAATCTCATATTTTATTGTGCTCATATAAAGCCATTTCTTTGTGAATAAGACTTTTTTATTTGTGACATTTTAATGATCTACAAATGTTTGGTATAGATGAAAGGAAATGATTATTTCCAGGTCACCTTGGAGTAATATTTCTGATGGGCACCATAATTCCAATTAAATTGAGTAATAAGGGAGTGGGGGGGGGGGGGGGACCCCTTCAAACATTTAAAGTGCCACTGAAGCATAAATATTTTTAAAGAAAAACATGAAAAAAAAAAAGTATTCATCATTTACCACAAGCCACAAAATGTCAGAGAGGACCACGGATAAGAAAATTCAAAGATGTTTTTCCACTGGGGACTTGTCAAAATAAATAAATAAATAAAATAAACGTGTCCCTGAGGACACACAGACTGTTTGAACCTTACTCTGTGCCCCAGAAACGTGGTGCACTGCTGTAGTGAAGGCGGCCATTTTTCATGTCATAGGGTTTTGTTTGACTTGGGCCACAAGCTCAGTCAGGAAAATAACCCCAAGTCAGATCCCCATGAAGCTCGTGTCAAAATCCCAACTTACCACCACAAATTTGGCAGATGCAGCGCTCCAGCGAGGCCCAGGAGTGCTCCGGCAGAGGTGTGGTAGGTGTGCAGAGAGGCGTGTTGAGACTTTTCATAGCACCTCGCTAAATCTGTGCCTGTCCAAAGGCACGGCAGTCAAGCTCACGTTTGCATGAACACCAGCCTGCTCTGATTCATCCAGAACATTCTGACACTTTTGCACATGGTTATCTTTGGATCAGACACTCTGTGCAGCCTGTGAAATAAATGCAGTTCTTCAGTTGCTAAGTTCACAGTCACAAAATAACTGCTATCGCTCGCTCTGGCGAGAAGACTGTCACGTTGCTATTGCGATTTTTGTTTAGCGTCGAGCTTGTGGCCCACAGAGCCCAGCCAAGGCCTCGCTGTGCCAGGCAGAGCACTAAGGCAGAACACAACACCTGCTCACCGCACGTAATCCTCTACCTATCAGCTCTCCTATGTTTAGCCATCGGAGTTGTGAGCCTTTAAAAAAATAGAGAAAAAATCACACACACAAAAAAAAAAAACCACACCCCTAAGAGTTTCGAGATCCTCACATATATAAAGTAATATAAGCTCAAACAGGACTTTGCAACCAGAAGTTCACTGGGGCTGCCCATATACAAAAGAATTTTAAAGGTACTGAATAGAAGATGGGAGAAAGAGTTCACAAAGAAACTCTTCTCATACCTTACTTTAACGTCAGTTAAGCAACTTATTTAGTTTCAAGGGACCTTGGATTTTTCTTTCTTTCTCCAACACTTCTCCTTCACTATTTATTGCAATAAAAGCTCTTTCCCCCCTCTTCCGAAACACTTGCCATCCCCAGAAGACTGGGGTGACATAGGGGTAGACACTGGGAGACCAGGACCAATTAAAGATCCAGTATGTTGGAGACTTTCCTGGCCACAAGCCAACCCTTTCTGGAATGGAAAAAGCTTTTCAATAAAGCATTTTCACTAACAAATTCAGTATTTAACCCTTAGGAAGTAAGGAAATATCCCAACTTAAAATTGTTACTTAGTTACGTAAAAAAACTGCTATTTTAGACGATTTTTAAGAGCTTCTGGAACTACATTATTTCCCAGCCCTATTTCTCTGTGACCTGGGCAGTTGATTTTGTTGTGATTAAAGCACCTGGCTCTTGGAGCAAGGGAGACGAAAAATAAGTACCAAATAAACATATAAAAGTCTCTAACAACATTCCTGGAATAGTTTTTCTGTAAGTACATGGCATGTTCCGAACACATGATTTTGTAGTACAAAGATTTTATTGGCTTCACTGCTCAGTGTGGTCATCTCAGATCCATGCCAAATGAACCTACCACGCTGTGTCCTCATTTATTTTCTGCCTCCATACACAAATATGCTCTTTTTAAGAAGCGAGTTCCTGATTCCTGCACGATTCACAAGCAGAAAACGCGCTCCATTATCTTTCTCTGCAAACGATAAGCAAGATCAGGGCGCTGCATGTTACTCTTGGCAACTGAGCTGCGAACAAGCACAGCACCTCGAAGAGCCAGCAAAAACAGGAGCTGGGGAAGAGGGTTTGCCTCCGACAGGTTCCTCGCACCTCCTCCCTGCAGCAGCCTGCTGCTCGGTACCAGGAGCGGACTCGTTCGTATGCAAGGCTCAGGTGGGGTGAGCCCTCGATGAACACAACATAGGGCACGGCGTATTTACGTTATGGGAAGACAACACATACAATGTCAGAATGAGAAAACCCTCCAGTTTCAATTACATACGTGTAAGCCTTGGATACGAATAGACCCTGCCAGATGTTTCCCTATCATAATACACTTTCTCTTATTAACATCACTAAATAAATACAACTCACCAAACCAAATTCTGACCATTTCCCCCGTTTTAAACTTAATGAATTTTCTCAGCTTTATGCCCTTTTCTCAGTACGCAACCTAAAGCTGAGAGCTTCTTCACAATAGCGTGCCTGACTGGGGATTTTTAGAACAGCGATTATGCCATGACACAAGGGTAGAACAGTGTTTTAAAGGGCTGCTGACTCCGGACAATTTATATGCTAATTTCAGAAATGATTCCTCCTACATTAAATAAGGAGCTAAGGAATGTTCCAAAGGTCTGGACAGCCCACACCATTAACAGATTGGGTAAATCAACGCTAATACTGCCCACAGCGTATTACACCGTGTGAACTTTCTTCGCTGCACACACTTTACTAATTTTAGTTCCACGTGGTTCCTCAGCTGACTGACCAAAATATAAACTATACCAGCTCCCTAAAGCCTCCCTATGCTCATCTTGACCTTGGACTTGCCTTTAATATTCAACTCGAGGAAAAAACTGAATGGTCACACTTTTTTATTCAGGGTACATTTATAAATGGTTTATAAAGGGTTAATAAATGATTAATAGGTTATGAAAGTGTTAAGAAAGCAAGGATGGCTACAAACAGTAAGGATAGCTGTTTTACACACCTTGTAATGAACATTCAGCTTTTTAGGGAATTCCAGTGCAGACCCATACATTCTAATCTGAACCACACCAGCATAAAGACTAAGTATGGCCAATAATCCAAACGTTTTCAAACTCGTTTGAGCGCTGACAAACCTCCAGCATTTATTAGCAGGGTTCTGAGGTTATTATTGCCTTAAAGCACAAGTCAAATTTGGCCCCAAATTTAGACTTTGTACAAATAAGCTGTTATAATGCCTTAGAATAACAGACAGATTTCCAGTTTTTATTTTACTCCCAATAAAAAAAATTGATCTTTAAACAAATGCTCATATGGCATATGTAATCCTAACAATGCACAACTGAAAAACTCAAAGTGAAACGAGCATTGCTAAATCAAAAGACTGATAATAAAATACTAAGATCAACTGTTTTTTTAAATTCCTTCTGATTTTTGTATCTTAGCTTGCTAGCTCCAGTGCTTAAATAAGGCGCTAATGCAAACGTGATGCTGACTTTAAGTGCTTGATTGTCACAGAAAAACTCTCATTCATGATTAAATCTTGGTTTCAGAAATTAATTCAAATCAGCATCCAGAGACTCCACAGCATCTCCTGCATTATCATGATGTGACAAGTTGTGATCACCTTTTACTAGCAAACCAAGGGGCTAAATACTATGACATACCTTCACTTCACAAAAATTGCATCTCTTTTCATCTGAAATAAGATCTTTGTGTATATATATATATATATATATAATATATATTTTTTTTTTCATTTTTCCCCACTTAATGCTGAGGATGATACTGAATCCAACTCTTGATCTCCTAATACCTGTCCTAACAGAAAAGATAACATTTCAGGGACATTGGGAATTGGATACTAAGTCAAAAGCGCACTGAGCACGCACCTCCTCTCACCAAATTCAATAGCTGAACTTCCTCTGAACGCCAAGGAATTGGATTAGGTATTCTGTTTATAGTATGGGTGCCAGCAAACTCGTTCTCCCATCACACACACGCTGCCTAATCGATGCACTACAACTTAATTACATCATAGTAGCTCTCTCTCAGCAAACTACAATCAGTTCTGAAGTGCAGCCTTCCATGAAGCAGTACCAGTGGGACCCCAAGACCTGAAACAGCTAATACATCACACGCTGCCAAGAACATACTTTGCTATACATCAGACATCTCAGTCAAACAACTCCTGATAATAATCAATGATGGCAAATTGGCAGCTGGGCTACTGGATAAACTCCAAACTTTACCTTCCAGCTACAGGAATGAGGAGGATATATGTGAATGTGATCTTTGGCAGGGAAAAGTACGTTGTTTCACTGCTGTGGGAAAAATGCTTAATGCTTAAACATTTCCTTAAAATAAGATTACAACAAAACATCAGAGGCTGCATTATTAATGATAATCAACTTTCCTGGCTAAATGAAAAAATAACTTCAAACTCACCTCCAACCTGCAAGAAAAAAAATCCTGTGTTTCATGACCTCACTTTTTTTTATCTGAGCACTTCAGCAGAAATACTTATTGCAAAGAGAACAGCCCTTGTGTGTTTTAGTTTTTGAGACTCAATGAAGTTCCCAACTTACCTGTTTTTTCCTCATCAATGAATAAGGAGATTAGTCAAAGTTTTGAGAAGGTTAGGCTATAGCACATTTGAGCTACTGACAACATGAACACTTGTAACCTACATTTATTTAGGAACGATGAACCTTGTACAGGAAATGTTGCACCTCTGAGAACAGAGACACTATATACATATATATATATATATATAGTATATATAGAGCACATGTATATATATATATATACATACATATACACACACACGCATATATATGGCTTTAAAAAGGATTTGGGGATCTCAGAAACTGAACTTGTTGCTGAACTCCATGATACACAAAAATAACAAGCAAGCTTTATAATCCTTGTGTCAACACTGCTGCCACAAAGTATTCTGTTGCTTTACACTAAGGCAGGACTTTCTTTCAAACCATAAAACATTCCAGCACCGATCATGCTGGGGTATTGCCACAGCTACCATCGGGGCAGTATCTCACCTTGCACGCACAACACAGGAAGCACTGAAGAGGCACTATACGCTATGGGAAGCCAGTTTCAAGAAATACATTTCTCAGATATTCTGTATTTCCTGCTTTTCCCGGGACAAAAAAGAAAAACCTAGTACATTGATAAGAATGTTGCTGAATATTCATACAGATATGCTCACTAAGAAACCACTAGTGAAGTGCATGCAGACAGAAGTCTGCTATTAAACACGTATGTTCATATATACATAGATGTGTAAAAACACTGTGCACTTCGCAATGGAAAGGAAACAACTGATGCTGAGAGACCTCTCGGAGACCCTCGGTCTTCATCTCAGCTTTATTCCATCATCCTTTACCTCCTTTGCAGATCAGACAGCTGATTTCCCTTTGCCAATCCATTTAGCTTCTTCCAGAATTGAGAATATCTCAAAAAAGAACAATGCTAAAATTAATATGATTTTATTACACTGTTACCTCTCTGAACATCCCTTTCTTCATGCTGTCTTTTTAAATTACAGCTTCACTGGGACAGGGATCGTTTCTGTTCTACGTCTAATGCAACACAGCCCTGCTCTTAACCAGCCTCTAGTCGCTACCATAAAAAGCAGAGAATAGAAAGAAACTGCTTTTGCCCTAGGTAAATACTTTACAGAGTGATATTAATCATATTTATCCATCTTTGCAAAAGGAACTCTAGAAAGCACACAACAAGCATGCAGAATTGTATAGAATCTAAGTCACTAATTCTTTTGAAAAACATTCATTCATTTCAAACAAGGCTTATAACAAGAAATGTGATCACACTTCTACTCTAGGCACCTCAGAAATAGTAAGTCATGGTGGTAAATTTGTTTTTATTCAAGTCTTGCTCATTTTTCTTTTCAGGGTACTTAGCAGTGATTTATTCCTGCTCACAGTCACTCCTTCTCTGCACTGAACTGCCTGGATACAATTAAGAAAACATTCCATTGGCAAAAATGGTCCTGAGAGATCACATTTGGATATAGAAGAATCCAAAAGACTCAGGAAGAAGACACTCTGAAAACCATTAAAATGGTCTCTGAACACGTCCATCCAAATATTTTCAACTGAAAATTTTCTAATAATGTTTTACTTAATTTTCTTAACAGCAAAGCACTCGGAAAACATGAAGAGCTAGGTTATATCTATGCTGCCAATCTGCTTTTAGGGTCAAAAACCCACAGTGACATTCTTTGCTATTTTCATAATACATCATGTATCTGACCAGTGGAAATCTTTTAGTCTCTTCAGAGGACTTAGAATCAAGAAATAATTCAATTTTCTGCAGAACAGCTCAAAAGCAACTCAACCACAATTTCTGTAGAGTAGAGAATGAATTTCTACCACTTTTAAGAGCAGGAACTCTGAATCCCAGTCTTCTCGTTAGGAAAAACGTGTTGGGTTATTGCGGGAACTAGCCCATTCTGAAATGCCAAAAGAATCTGTTTACTTTCCCATGAAGCTCAAGTTTCCACCTTTGGCTATGTTCTCAGAATACAAAGTCCTGTTTTTAACCCAACTCAGTAGGGCATGCAACAAGGATAGCAGAAGAACTTTCCTGAGCATGCACTGAGTTGCTAGCCAAAGCTGCTGTAGAGAGACATCAGTGTCAGATCAAGATTGACCATTACAGCCACCTTACCTAGTAAGTTTCTGGTCTGCATGAGGGAGCTATCAGGCAGATCTAACCAGCTTAAAAAACTGCACCTCACAGAAAAGCATCCACTCAGCAGCTCTGATGTAAAACAATAACGCTTCAAAATGTCATACTGCTTGAAAAGTGACATCTGAAGTTTTTGCTAGGAACATTACTCAGACGTGGAAAGGATGTAAAGGATGTACCTCCTAGCTTAGGATGGTATGCAGCATACATCACGCGTTCAGACAGCACTGAGTGTTTTAGTTCTATGGTCAAAACCTGTCAGGAACAGTTCTTTCAGGAGGGAAGTTTCAGTAGTGTACTCATGAATTTAAGGTAAGGTAAGTAGGCAGTAAATCCTTCAGCCCTCTGCTGGTGAATTTATGGAGAGGAAACACACAAAAGATGGAAACATTTTATGAATAATGCACAATCATTTACTTCCTTTTATATAAGGCCACATGAAATTCCAAAGCTCTGTGGTACACCGTAAAAGAGGCACAAAAACCTGATTTGTCATCTCAAAACCTAATTTACCACTGAATGAGGGTAATATGTCAAAACTTGAACGAGAACATCCAAAATGCTGAAGAAAGAGCAGCATAGATGCTTCTCTGGACAGCTATGATCACTGTATCTGAAACATCCTAGGCCATATCGCAGCAGAACTCACAGTATTAACGCAACCACATGGATTACTGACAGCTGCTTACCATGTGCAGAGGTATTGATACCACTACCTGTCAACATTACAGCTCCTTCAGCATAAATTCAAACTGAGCTACTCTACAATTTTTACATTTCAGTTTCCCTGGGAAATCAGTTCCATGCTGAGGACAGTACGCAGACTAGAACGCCAAAGCACCTGAAACCAACAGATGCCGATGGGGCTCATATGGTCACACGTACATTGCCCTGCTGTCTACACTGAGATGCCACTTCAGAGTGACTGCATTTCATTCCAGATTGCCCCCAAAATACATGAATGCTTTGATGCATGACATTGGCCTTCTTCAAAATGACGGTGACCTCTTTCCTCTCCTCAAAAATTTGTGTAGAGACTTCCCTAATTACAGTCCAAATCTTTCTAGATCAAATAGTTAAAATATGCAAGGCACTGAACATAAAATCATCCTGTGACACCCAGGGGCTTTCGATGCACTTTTGCTGAATCCATAGGATGCTGTAAAATAGACAAGATCACAACAGCCTGCAGAGGTACACGTACAATTATCAGCTTGCAAACTGCCCTTTTCCATCCACTGGAAATGATCAAATATCTTTGACATAGGGAAGCTTAACTGGGAGGAAATGGTGGTCATCCTCTTGAAGTAACCTTTAAGGAAGACAAGAACGTCAGTGCAAACTTGTGGGAAAAGAAAGGTTTTCTATTGTCAGCATGTAAAATAGGCAAAGGGCAACAGGCACGGTGTATTTTCTGCAGTCAGGTTGAAGGACCCCTGAATGGGGAGAAAATGAAAAACAAAGACAATTTGTTCATAAAAAAAAAAAAAAAAAAAAATCAATTAACTTGTTCGGGTTGTTCGAGATTTAGAGAGCTGATTCCTCAAAAAGAAGCAGCACACAGCCTCGGGAAGACGTGAAGCATCAGTACCATAACCCTTATATATAAGGGATTGCAAATAGCCTTCTAACATTTTCTGGTACTTCTCTCCACAACTGTTGTCCGTCAGAAAATGAAAAATATCTGTTACACGTACCACAGACCAAAATTGACAGAACTCTCATTAGTCACCTTCATTTTCTACCACAAATTCACTTAATCACCCGCGGTCTGACATAAACCCAAAGCGGCTTCACCCAAACAAATTATCTACAGATAAAAAGCTCAGTGTTGTTCCTCCCAACACATTTGCACTGATGACTCAATTCCTAGCACGTGTGCACATTAGTGGCAAAGAGAGGTATCGGAAGACTTG